CCAACTATTTGAAACGATTGAAAGGAGTTCCAACGGACGACGAGAATTTAAATTCGAAATAATTCGGTTTTTTTTCTTAAAGTATCATTGTCATTAATTTTGTACAATGCCTAAGATAACACATAATATAAATAAATTTATGCATATTGCGAAATAAAGTTATGCAAAAGATAACACATAATATAAATAAATCCGCGTGAAAAAAATCTGAACTTATATATAGATCCGTTAGTTTTTCTCTTTGCAAAAAAATATTTTCTTAATTTCCCAAAGAGTTATGTGAAAAATTAGTTGTACAGGATAAAGAAATTTATTGTTTGTAACGCACCAAAGATATATGATTTAATAAAAGAGATATAAGTTATATATATACATATAGACGGAAAATTTCTTATACAGAAAAGGATGCAAGCCAAAAACGAGATTAAAATGTTTATAAAATTCATAAGCGTCTTAATCTTTATGAACATATATATATATATGTACTTATATGGACATATCCCACATATTATATATGGATTTTTTCTCTATAGGTGTTTATAAGTTGTACAGCGATCATTTGTGAAAATTGAGAGATGATTTGTAAGAATCATTAATTTTTAGATAGTAATTTTCACTATATTGTAAATGAGAAAAGAAAAAAGTTAGTTATTAAAATTTCAATTTTTGAAGTTTTTATTTGTATTATCTCTCTTGCTATCATGTTCCCGATATCTCAGAATTTAAATTTGTGTAAGTATCGGCGGAAGGCCAAAGGAGGCCCTACAGAGAGAGTTTTTTAGCGGATGCGATTCATATTCGACTCGCATACATATATTTACAATATATGTATACATGATCAGACGCAATCGTTTTCGCTGGATATCTCAGAATTTAAATTTGTGTAAGTATCGGCGAAAGAGCAAATGTTGGTCCTGCAGGGAGAGTTTTTTAGCGGGTGCGAGTCCCGCACCCCACCGGTCGGTCCGGTGGGGATGCATAATGCATTTTTCTCTTCCGTCAGAAGACATGCGTTTTGATTATTAATACAATTTATTAGATTTTGAAAAATTACAAAATGTATTTTACAGAGTAATATCGATTATCTTATAAATATACAGCGTTATACATTACTCTTTTCCATTTTGCGTTTTATCATCAGTGTTTCATCAAACAATAAAAAAGAATAAAATTGTTTAATGTACTTTCTAAGACAAAAAGCACATTAACCTAGGATCTTTTTAGAAAGTATACATTAACCCTTGGATATCGCAATATACGTAAAATAAAGACATTTTCGTTACGTAATATGCATTAAACACTAAGTAGGAATTATTTTCAAATACTAAAAATAATATGACTTTAAATGCATTTGTGAATGAAAATAATGGATTGATTGCTTTCGCTGTTAACTGCATTTTGCACATACACACACACACGCGCGCAGTCTCATTTTAATTATTATACAATAATACAAACAGAGGCATTATATATATACATATATTGGATATTGGACGCAATCGCTTTCGCTGCTATAATACACTATATTTTGTACACACACACATACACACAATCATTTTTATTATTTTACAATAATACACACTTGCATTTTATTACGTATATACATATATCGAGTATCGGACGCAATCATCGGATGCAATGTGATTTTTCCAAATCAAAACAGCTGTTTTGCGACGTTACCAATTCCTGCATCACCAATAATTTCTCTGCAATAATCATGCTGTGACAATATAGTATAAATATATCTCATTAAATAATTCTATCATTAAAAGATTTTCTAGATATATAATATTACGCTTAAAACTTTAATTCATGTCCAAGTTCGGTATTTCATGATTAGTGGCATCGGGCAATATAATTTATCTGACAAAAAAGGTACAAAAGACAATATACAACTCTGTTTCTCTCTCTCTCTAAGCACTCCATAAAACTGAGTGGTTTGTAAAAAGCCGAGTAATGTATTATATGTATCTTATACATACATATTCTGTAATATATTTGTGCGTTATCGCGCACTCGGCATTTTGTAAATAAATCTAAATTCCAATACACAATAAATTCTCAAAAATTCGTTCTCGGTTTGAAGTATATTTTTTTTTTGCTCAGTCTTGTGGCACTGTTAAAATGTTACTAAAATCATCATTGTTAAATAACACTTGCCTTTTTGTCAAAATTTGTACAACGTCGTTTCGCTATAAAATGATCGTACTTCAAATAATTTGCAATTTTATATGCGCTCATAATATAAGAGATTTAGAACTTGATGAAAGTACGATGAATAAATGTATGTTTGTAAATGCATGTCTGCCGTAATATAATACGAATCATATACGATCTGTGTTAAAAAAAGTCGAGAGTATTATAAAAGTGCAATCGTGGAAATTATATGTATAAAAATGAAGACGTTAATTTAATAACAGAATAAATTACGCTTTCCAAAAAACAATTGGTAAAAGAAAGTCACGTAAATGTCAAATCCGTAATTTTAAAAATGATGCATGCATGAAACATTTTTCTTATTCAAAAAATTTTGAGAAAAGATGGTCGCTTTTTATTGCAAACTAATTGAAAACTTTAACAATCGTAATTGAGTTTGATATTCGAAAGATTTAGGTCTCGAAAGAGTATATCAAAAATAGCATCATTTACTAAAAGCCATAATTCACTGCTATAGAAGCGATTCTTGCAACGTCAAACGCCAACATTTCGCGATTTATTGTTGATATGCTGTATTTAATACAGATCACACGCATATTATTTGTTTAATTCAATCATGTTCCATCCGTTGCACGTAATCCAAAACGGGATTTGCGAATTTTATTACATCGTTCGCGCGCAAAATGAGAAAAAAAATAAAAATATAAGGTATATTAAATCACTTATGATATATAAAAATCTGATTTATTACAATTATTATATATAATATATATATATATATATATATATATATATAATTAGAGCGCTTTTTAATAATATTCGGTATATTCGTACTCGAACTTGATTTTCTTTGAAGACTTATTGGAAGTAATTAACAAGATTTATTGACACAATCAGAGGTTTTTCCCTCCAACTTATTTAAATATGTCAATCCTATCTCTTTTATTTATGTTGTGAAAATAAATTATAAAATTATCTCTCATTGAAAAGGAAATAGACTTCTAACGATCTGTTGTATGTACTAGTACAATTACGGCAAGATAAAAAAGACGAAGAAGCATTTGACGTTACACGACTCGCAAACCATAAATCAGGGTGCTATGAAATATAAAAGCTAATTAATTATATATATATGATGATTAATTTATGCAGGTCTCACCGCTCTATCGAATGATAATTTAATGATATATTATTTGAGAGTTTTAAACTTGATTTACTCTTTAGCAAACGGCACTCTAGTATGATAATATGACAAGTGTAATGTGCCATCGACTCGGAGTAATCAAGCCACATGTTTCGTGTGCTTCAACAAAGGATTATCAACAATTTTAAAAAAAATGCTTGAATTCATGCGATATACAAAAAAAGAATGATAGTGATTGGCTTGTCTATAACATATTGTTTGGAATTTTCGAGCAAAAAAGTTCCGGAAAGTAAGAATAAGAAAAAGATCGCAGCTTTTGACATACATGAAACGAATTATATCGTAGCAAATCCGTGTACCATTTCGAGATCTCATGCTTGAGTTATTAAATCACCAGTAAAAATTCTCTCTCCATCGCTTATTCTTTCTAAAGTATTATTAGTAAAACAGTCACATATTTCTAAATATCTGTAAACGATCCTGAAATGAACGATAAACGGACCGTCGACGAAAAAAATATACAATTCGATCGATTGACCGGCCAAAAGAAGAGAGAATGGTCGGTCATTTATCACGCAATTTTAAGAGGTTTCTCACCGAAGTGGTATATCACAGTGCAACGATCCAGACACTCGATTGAGTTTTCCTGTGTGGGAGTGCGATCGAGGTAACCGATAACGGCAAGCCGAATAAAGTATTTTGTATGTGTTACTGGGATCGACTCGGAGTAATCAAGCCACATGTTTCGTGTGCTTCAACAAAGGATTATCAACAATTTTTAAAAAATGCTTGAATTCATGCGATATACGAAAAAAGAATGATAGTGATTGGCTTGTCTATAACATATTGTTTGGAATTTTCGAGCAAAAAAGTTCCGGAAAGTAAGAATAAGAAAAAGATCGCAGCTTTTGACATACATGAAACGAATTATATCGTAGCAAATCCGTGTACCATTTCGAGATCTCATGCTTGAGTTATTAAATCACCAGTGAAAATTCTCTCTCCATCGCTTATTCTTTCTAAAGTATTATTAGTAAAACAGTCACATATTTCTAAATATCTGTAAACGATCCTGAAATGAACGATAAACGGACCGTCGACGAAAAAAATATACAATTCGATCGATTGACCGGCCAAAAGAAGAGAGAATGGTCGGTCATTTATCACGCAATTTTAAGAGGTTTCTCACCGAAGTGGTATATCACAGTGCAACGATCCAGACACTCGATTGAGTTTTCCTGTGTGGGAGTGCGATCGAGGTAACCGATAACGGCAAGCCGAATAAAGTATTTTGTATGTGTTACTGGGTTTACCGCCTCGATTACAGTTACAGCCCCGATCTACTCGATGTATGTGGCAATCGCGCCTCTAGAGTTGCGTATCACATGGGACGACGGTGTGCGCATCATCGTTCGTATACTCGACGGCTTCGATTCGGAATGAATTCGCAAGAACACAACCATGTAATCTTACGTTTCCAACCTCGCGAGTATTCCGTTAAAGAAATTGTCCGAGTAAACATCCTTGACGGTCGGATATTTCTCGAATCAATCCTCCAGAAGAATCCGTGTCAATTCGCAAATAATGAAAGAACAAATTTCGAAATGCTATCCTTTCACATTTACGAGACGACATCGATGATCTTGGCTTTATGTGATGTTGAATCAATAGTCGTATTCATCTACGATATCCAATGACCCTATTCGATGCCATGTGCAAAGATCATCACTAGCCCTGGCTCGACCATCATATCCTCTGGCATGTGTGTATTATCACAGTGGAGGACCAGCACCGCTTGCTTGCCGGGCACTCTCTTGCATACGTAATTGTCGTATTGTCGTCGAGAGTTTTGTCTGGTCTCGAGGGAATTCAGACCGGGCGGCCATTTCCGCTCGTGGCAGTTCTCCATTAGCTCGTCAATTACGTGAGGCGGACAATTGTACTCCGACAGAGTTCTCTTTATCATCGTCTGTAAACGAATAAAAGCAAAATCTCAAAATGAGCAGAAATTGCAACGTTGTTTACGTCAAAATATCTTGGCGATTGATAAATTAACGAATCGCACCTGCAGCAACTCGTCGGGCGTGGAGATCATGCCGCCCCATCTAGTAACCCTGGCGCGCGGAAGGGTCGCGGACCATCTGACGACCTCGTCCCGCTCCATCTGATCAGCGATCGCGCGCATCGCCGGGTTCGACACCCTGAGGGCGCGCATAAAGTCCTTGAGCAAATGAATCTCGCGTTTATGCTCGTTGATCTGCAGCTGCTGCTCGCCGAGTTCACGTTTCATGTCAGCCAGCTTCTGTTGCTGCGACTGTATCAGGTTACGCAGCTCGCGCACGCAGTTATGATCCTTGAGCTCGTTCTTGGGGATGATAAGGCTGCAACCCTGCTCGCACAGCATTGGTCTCTTCGGATTATACTCGCACTGTTCTAGATGCGATGCCAGACTGTCCAGTTTAACTATGGCGTTGCAACCGTACACAATGTTGTCGCAATTGATGCACAAGCGGGCCAGCAGGTTTCTCAGGATTCTAGGAACCGCTATCTAGGGGGCAAGTGGGCTGACGGTTTATCCACTCGTTGATGCAAGAGCGACAAAAGGCATGCTCGCACACTGGTGCCTGTAACACATTGCTCACCTGCAAGTCCTCGTAAGCTGCCACAATTTCATAGCATAAACAAGTGTATATAAAATCTCCCGTAAGATGGATTGTGAATTTTTTAAAAAGAACAAAATACAAATGAATATTATACAAAGAATCTTTCCAAGAATTAGAAAGTATATGAAATTTGCAGATGATATTATGGAAAATACTCAAGTTATACGAGAGGTGACGGTTTCGACATTTTATACGTAAACATTTTGCATTAAAAACATTTGCTTGGTTTACAAAACAGTAAACGCTTGTAGAAGATATAAATATTATATAGATAAATGCAACCGCGCGATAACGACCGATAATAACACCGAACATGATAAAAGCAACGAGTCAAGCTAACCTATATACGCGGATACGTGACTCGGTTTACCTCTATTTCGAAGCAAACGGAGTGTAGCGATGACAAAGGCAACAACGAGAAATGTCATAAAATATGTAGCGAAATATATCTCGCGTGAGATATGCATCTGACAAATCGCACGCTGCGGAAGACCGTAAAATCTCGCCATAGATCCGTCAAGTTTTATCAATCAAACCCGGTAAAAATATCCTTCCTTTTTCCTCTTCTCAATTTTATTCTTCTTCGAAAGAAAAATATATTTTTCGCGTAACTTCGTTTCCTTTTTTCCTGTCGAACTCTCGTAAAATTTATATTCCGCATAACACGCGTAGGATGCGGAATCGTTAGGTTAGGTTAGACGGGAGATGAGACGGACCACGACGAGATTCCCCCGACTCGAGCATGTGCGTTGTCCTACCTGGACGGGGTCCTCCAGCACGCCGGAACATATTGGACACACGAGCTCCTCGTCCACGTCGCCCTGGAAGCGGTTCACGTCGAACCCCATCGCTCGCTGATGCGTGTGTCGCCTCCTCGTCGCCTCTCGCGCAATCCTCCTTCAGGAACGGACTTAGTTAGGCCCCCAGCATCCAGAGAGAGAGAGAGAGAGAGAGAGAGAGAGATAAATCATTTTTAGTACCCCGTGCGTGGATTTTTTTTCTTCCTCGAATATTTCACGCACATAATTTTAGATACGTATTTCCGTTGTTATATATCAATAATTTTAATAAAAATTTATAATTGCTTCATAATTATTTTAATGTAATTGAGATATCTATGAAATGATATAAAGCTTCGAAAATTTTGATATATTTTACTGCAATTAATCCTGTTACTAGCGCAATAACTCTTTCACGTGGACTTACAGAGATGGAGGAGCATGCTCTCAGTTGAATTTAAATAGCGCATAAAATCATCTATCGCGCCAGAAGTTCCATGACGATTTCGTATATCGAGATCTATCTATATAGACTTCGACGGGCACAAAAGACAGCACTGAAGAGGACCCCTCCTTCGTCTCTTCCGTTCTCTAGAGCACGAGTCTCTCTCGGACTTCTCGCTACTTCTTTCGTCTGTGTGGACGGCGACAGTTTTACCGTTATACTCGCGGGTCCCGTCCGTCCCGTTTTCGCGCTAATCGGCCTGCTGCTCCCGAAACGCATCATCGGAATCAAGCATCAACATTAGAGGCGATCGAGAAAGAAACGTTTTTTTCAAAAATTTTTTTTATTTTTTTTACGAGGAACTCTCTATAGAATATAATTGATAAGAAGTAACTTTCGATTCTCTCTATATAGTTAGATAGATATATATGTACATACAAGGTATTCGATGAAACATGATGTAGAACCGGCGAAAATTTTTTGATATACATTCAGAAAGTAAAGGATTTTATTTTGATACTAGACCTTTTTTTATTCTTGAAAAAAATTATTTTAAAAGATAAAGATTCTTTTTTTAAATTATTCAACCGGTATAGAGTTTGTTTTGACATTGCAATATCCTTGATAATGAATAAACTCGCTACTCGAGATCATCAAAAGTTGCTCTTATGATTAGCGGCTTAATCTCTTGCGTTTTATGGCGATAATTTTTAACATTAACTCAATACTGTTAAGCTTATCGTTAGCGATAGATCGATTAGCTCCATAGACTCTCGATACCATGGATATACAACTGGATTTAATCGTTGGATATGTTTTTCTTATACGCCACTTTCTTGTGCTCGTCATGGAGCAAGACGACGTTGTTCCTTGTAAAAAAAAAAAAAAGGATACTCTCTGCTGCAACCTGATTTCGAGCTCTTCCGCATATAAACGATGGATAGGAGGGTGAATACACTTGATCGAGACGAGAACGAAACTGAAAAAAATATTATCTTATTTTATATCATCGATATGATAGATGAAGGATTTTCTTTTATTACTTGCAGATTATTGAACTTGATTGTTGTATGTCGATAAATTTTAGTCATTGATTATTATTTATTATATAATATAATATACAAAACCAAAATTTTTGCAGCAAACTGATGCGAAAAAGTAACACGATGATTCACGCTGTGGAAAATCCAAATCGTCAATAACATTTTCTTCGCACTAGTAAATGGACTCTCGAGATTTTCGAGCAGAGTACCGTATGCGATAAACTCGTGTCCCGGTAATCCGATTTGTTCAGACCTGCAGGTTTTGATAGATAAGATGAAAAGGAGAGATATAGTCTACACAGTCGGTACTACGAAAAGACGGATCAGTCATTGTCACGAGAGTAAGCTGGACAGAACAGAGAACCGGTGAAGATGAATACTTCGGATGTAACGAAGAAAAAGAATTCCGAAAACGAGATTCAAGGTATCTAATCGTTTAAAAAAAGAAAGAAAAAATAGTCAAATTTTTGCCGTGTCTTTTAACCTCCATTAAATAAAAAGATAAAATAAACTAGCTATTTTTTTTTTACATCAAATTAGAAAGATGGAAACATAGAGAGAAGAAAAAGAAAAGATCGCTGTTTTCAATCTTTAGAAAAATTGTTTGATCACTGTCCATTGTATATGTTTGGTTTCTCTCACATCGATCGATCACATGTGATCCACGCTTTTGTTGAAACGAGGACACGCTTTCCTTCGGTAAATTTCCGTAATCGCATTATTATACTTTCGATAATGAAAATAAACATCTTTCCGCAAATCAAACATTTTTCCAGTTGCTGTCAGGCATAATTGTAATCGATCGTTTTTCGTTCAAATTACAATTTGATTAGAATAGTCAATAAATTTCAATGATAGAAATATATATATCAAGTTGTCAATTAAATAATTGAATTCTTGATAAATATATAGATGAGAGTTAGAGAAATAAGATCGAATAACGAAATGTAAGAGTAATATAATATTAATAAACATTTTATCCATGTCTGTGCAAATATGCAAGCTAATTAATTCGATCAAATGTTTATTTAGGTTATCGAAGTATGAATTTCTTATCTCTCACAAGTAGAAAACTGATTAGCCAATCACTCATTTAAATAATTTATAAACGAACGTGCGTGAGCAATCATAAAAATGCTCTTAAAAAATTATGTAAACATAATTATATTTGAATTGCAAGAAAGTACAATTTCATTATTTATTGTTAGACGGATAAGTAGAAAAGCGTTAAAAAGATAATAGATCTCGATTATTGTAATCGTAATTATTTTAATTTAAGCAGTGAATTAATTTATTAATTATGTAAATAGATCAAACGATAAAACGTATAAGGATGTAGCAACTTTATTAAAATAATAATTTAATTTAGAACTCCATGAAAATCTTTTAATCGAGTACGGTACACAATTTTCTTATCTCCCTCCCAAGAATGTTAAGCATTGCATCTATCGCTGATACGGTCAACAGTAAATAATTGGAGAGTATTGTGATAATACTGTCTTTTTTGTCAGTTTGAAATAATGATGTTTATCTTGGAATTGTGGTAATTAATACAGGAAGCGCGATAAGAAATTGTCGAGTAACGGAACGAAGTCAAAAGATGATGCGAACATTGTGCTCGCATTGTTATTCGCGTGCTATCTGATTAAAAATCCGACGTTATAATCACAGAAAGTATAATCTCAAAAAACAAAAAAAATAAAATAAACGATAATGTAGTTTTGCGAACGTCAGATCCCTCGATATAAATTGATAAAATTTTTAATTGGCGGTTTAATCGGGACTCGCGTAATGATCCTTTTAATAGGCGCGTTTGGACCGTGACCTAATTTAAACAGCCGCACACAAATTCGCCGTTACTGTTATGAATATTGATGATCGGCGCAAATGGTCACCGATCGCTTTCGCTGTATCTACCCACGACTGGCTCTCGCGATTCTCTTGCATAATCATTACTATTCAGATACTCACAAGTTTTCGCAGATTAGATATTCGCGATTGAATTATAATTTATTTTATTGCTTTATGATATACAAGATGTTGAGGAAAGAACACATATTTGAGGATTTAGAGAACTTGAAGTACTTAGATAATACTCGATAAATTTTTCTTGTATAATATTTCAATTCCCTATCTCTGCTCTTATCTATTCTTCTTCATCTTTCTTCATTCTATTTGCACAATAAAGAAACGTTATTAAATTGTCAATTAAAAAGATCTAATAAATATATTAATTAATTAAATTTGTTAGATATAAAAAATTGCTTCTATCTCGGTGACAGGATTAATTTTTTGATTTATGTTTATTAGACATTTTTTATACAATAGATTAAACGAGTCATTGAGACGATGGTTCAAACTGATCTCTTGAATAAATGCACGATGGTACGGATTATCCAATTTTGTATATATTAAGTATAGTTATCGTATGATCGAATCTAAAACTCATTAAATCCGGTTTATGCCGGTATTCAAAATTGCTCATGTAAATCTATTATATGATAAATTGAATCATTCAGATAGATCCCTGCTGAGCGACCGTCGAGTGATAGTCAATATAATGTGGCTGCTTTCAAAATGAGCGAACAGGACGACACTCCTTGTTTTGTTAATTTTCTCAGACAATTTCTTGATAACAAAAGCGATTTTTACAATTAGCATTATATTTTATCAATTTTTGATTTCTATATTGTTTTTTTCACGGCCTATTTCAATAATTTGATAGAAGAATCAATTATTTTGTTATCAATACTTATATTTTTTGTGTTTCAGATCATCCAAACAACCAGATCAATGTCGAGGGACAAGAAAAGGTGAGATATAAACTTATTTAATTCGTAAATATTGATGGAATAGGTTTAATTATTTACGTCAGAATATATTTATACAATATATAATAAAGAGCGATAAGATTATGGGCAGATAAATAGAAATATCAACGTTCATTATATCGTGCGTACATAATCTTGTCAGATAATTTTACCCGTTTCCGGCGCCTTGGTAAAAATATGCGCAGCGGCATTACTTTCGCTTTACAGCAATTAGACGTTACTTCAAGATCGAAAAGTTATCATTATTACTGCGCATTTAAGCGCGTTGCATAATCCGCGATGATGCAGTAACGAGCGAATATTTTCGTATGGAACGATCGTTATTAACGAGATTCAATAAAAAGAAAGAGAAAACTAAAAATATGAGAATGATCTTTTGCCGGCAAAACCGCGTGATCTTCACACTTCGTGATTTCGAAATCGTCGAATAAATGTCTCGCATCGAATTGCGTATCTGTTTTACGACAGATTCCGCAACACAGAGTTCCAATTCCAGAGTAAATGCGCAAAAAAGTAATAACGTGCGATTTGTATTATATTTTAGCAGGAGCGTCGTAAAAATTTTCAATAGCAGTTTCTCAATGTTTAATAAATTTTCCTTGACAAAAAAGCTGTAAATGTACGCGCGATTAAAAAGATTGCGAAAATTAAGCTCGATTAACATTATTTTTTAATTGTCGCAGTAGAAATGAGTCTAGATAAACGGAAATTTCTGCGCATATAATAATATCTATCTCTTGCGATATCTCTCACTGTAAACAAAAGATATACGATCGTAATAATAATTCGATTGCAATCGACTAACGTAATCGTTTCATACAAAATTGTTCTATACAATAGATAATTTGCAAATAATACATAGACAAAAGAGATAACACATATGCAATTATCTTACCGGAAAGAGAATCTGAACAAATGGAATCGACGAACATCCGGATTTCCTCTGAATTACAATTATTCAACGCATACTGATAATTATATATAAAAAAATGTGCGGTTCTGCCGTTACAAAACTATTACATCATCAACAAGATTAGCATAACATAAGAAATGCGATTCTATTATTAGTGTCGAAGATGACGTTTACTTTGACATGGATAGATTTGTTTCGTTGCACTGGCTCTATTCCATCTCTTCTTTTTTCTCCTTTTAATAAATAGTATTTATCATTCTTTCTTTAATTTCTTGAGAGAGAGAGAAAGACTCTAATTTATTCGCCTCAACACACTCGGCGATGATAATCTTCTCAATCGCGAAACCGTAATATCTCGACCTCAAACATGAAGAAGAGAACTGTCACATTCTGCGCGCACCTGAGTTACCTGGAGAACGATCGTTTGGTTGCACGTATATACTTTCACATTGTTCCAAATACTAGCACACTCCACGATGTAGTGTACAATACTGTCACACGTCGAGCGTCTTTTATACCGACTTTGAGATACTCACTATATTACACACTCGTACACGATGGAGTATTGCCTACCTCTACTCTCTGGTAGCGAACTGTCTTCGCTTGTCAGTCTCGATGTACGAGCGCGTACGAACGGAACCATCAACGACGACTCGTTCGATGTCATTCTCCGATCTCGTCATCGGGCCCCAGTAAGCGAAAACATTATTCATACAATGTTATTGGAATAATATATATATCCGGAATATAACATCTTTCAAGCATTTTTACATGATATTCGAAGGTATCGCGTATCTTATCGGGTAATATTTCTAAAAATACGGGAGAACGTGCAAAGAATACGCATAAAATCAACATTTCGAAATGTTTGATCTAGCAATAAGTTTTTTTCGCTTACTGGGACTGTAAAGCGTCCACGTGCGCTGAGATATCGAGACGAAACGGTTCCCGTTTAATGAAGCAATCACACATACCAATTTTCGTGCTAGTGGATCGATATTGATTTGTATAGTCAGTTGTGTCTTGATCTCAACTCAACATGGTCGTCAATAAGATGCACGTGCAGCAGGTAAAATTTATTATCATATGTTGTCATATCGTGACCAGTCGCTCTATAACTATCAATATATATACTTGCAATCGTTCGACGTTGGGTAACTTTAATCATAGCTCAATCAATCACAGTGTTAGAATAAATTAGACTGGAAATCAGTTTCACTATACCGAAAAAACACTTTGGAATTTTGTAAAATAAAAATCAAGGAAAAAAGATATATTTTTGTTTCATATTTCTAAAAATGTCGTGCAAGAAAAAAATGCCATCTCGTTTATCTGCATTTTTATTTAAGAAATATAACGTAAGACTAATTAAGAATGGTGTGAGTCAATTTTTCAATCTTCGAGAAGGTCTCGATTTTTTATTAGAAATCAAATGGAATTGAATATTGATATTCATTCATATCTTCGTACATCCAAATTTACTATCTGACTTATTCGGATGGAATAATTTATATATATAAGGTGTTGCATATATTATTTTTTAACGATCTCTTGGTTTTCCTTAACGAGATGAATATGAAAGCATCAATAATTTTCAAATTATAAATGATGGAAAGAAAGCATTTTTGCAAACTAAACTTTGGAAGTCTAATGAATTATGATTTGAAACCACATTTTTCAGTTGATTTAGACAGAGTTTGTTTTAATAAAATTTGAAGTTTTACAAAGATATATATAATACTAAAGATTAGAAAGACGCAGATTGAATAAGGATCTTTTCAAAATATTTGCGAAGAAAAAATGTTGACTTTAAATTTATTAAAGAATCGTTGACAAGTCATTAATTAAGAAATAATGCGATAGTGCGACGCCCTATGTATTTTTGTCTCTGTATATCTTTTACACTCGAGAGACCAATATGTGTTGCGATTTAAATGCGAATCTTAAATCATCCCAACAGCTGAATGGCTTTGAAGGATAAATCAGTTTTTAAATCGAGCACTGTGGTTCACTGACTCAATCCCATTCACCTCGACACATTCTACTAATTCTCTTAATTGCGGCCGATCATTATACTTTCTCTAAGGCACAAGTCTTTCTTTAAGTGTCCCGGTCCATTCGTGCGATAATCAACTCGAGACAAATCGATTTCCGCTTATGCGATTATAATGAGAAAATTAGTAATTATTGCCATACTATATCATATATTTGGATCCTTAGATCATTCTGAAATTGTTAGATGAAAGATAAACGTATAGATATTGCAGATTAAGAATATATTTGTAATCGATCGTACAATTCAAGCGTCTTAATCGTCGGAGAAGAACGCCATTTTACTCCTGGTTCGTAAACATCCTGTATATTCCAATTATTTTTAACGATCCATGAATGTATCGCCGCGTTTGGGAAAACTTGGTCGCGTAAGTAATCGGAATTCCAGCGTAATTATCGTATATAGGGTGTCTTAAAAATTGTATGCCTCTTTAATCTCACAAATTCTTGGAGTAATATTAAAATTATAAATTTTGTTTTAAAATTACATCAAGTTTTAAATCAAAACAGATTAGAAGAATATATACTTAATGTCATCAACATATAATAATATTATACATTATATAAGCAATCCATTTACGATATTTTAAGAACTTTTAATTAATCCTTTATTGACTAAAAGATTATTTTTATTAGAAAAAGATAATGCATTTGCTTTCTTCAAAAGTGATTCTAATATTCATTATTAATTGATTAATATTTATTATGTTTTTATCAATTTTTTGTTTTTTTTGAGTCGACATTTAAATATCTGTTTAATGCAAGATTTTCTTTAAATCTAAATAATAATATTAATGTTATTGTTTGCGTCATAAAAATTTAATTACAGTCTAAAATTTTGTCATGCAAATCTTTATGTGTTAAATGTCATTTAAGGCATAAAGATATATACAATACTTTACATCGATTGATAGCATATCGCAATGCAATTTGCAATCAAATTTTAACGATGTTTCATGATACTTGCATGCACTATCACGATCCGTCAGAACACAATCGTTATCATTAATAAATGAGTTAAGTGAATGAGAATTAATAAGAATGTGAAATGAAGTGGAGAGAATTCGTATTAAAGTGAAGAGAATTTGTATTTGTTCTATAATTTTATTCATTCTATAATAATTTCTCTTCACGCATCCAAGTTTATTCTTTGGAATAAAAACATGCCTTGGATTGCTGTATCAAGGTTCTTTGTATAATCCACAAATAATCTTGCTTCTAGAAATTCGTGTTATTGCAAATATGTTATAAATGCTTGCTTAAATTAATTTTGCATGAATTCATCGAGAATATGAAAAATATATTCTTATTCTACAATATATTTTATAAATTTCTCTCTCTCTCCCTCTCTCTCTCTCTCTCTCTCTCTCTCTCCTGCTCTTAAATCTTCCTACTACTACACATATTTTTCTTATTTCTAAATTTCATTATTTTCTAAAGCAAGCAAATATCAAGGAAAATGTAGCTTTCTTAATTAAAAAGTATCATACAGACTTTATTTCATTCAAAACTGCATGTTCATTTTGTTATTGCGCTTTAAGTCTTTATCTTCAATCGTTAAATTCATGTTACCTGGCATTCATGATAGTGCAGCCGGCCTTCGCATTTTACGCTAGAAAATACTGGAAAATGAATGTGCCTGTGCCATAACAATGGTGTTAATCGGGTCAATGTAATGACGCTAGAACCGTCTAATGGAAAACGAACATTGTTGAATAATTCGAGACGAAAAAAATATCTCATAACCAGAATATATTTCATGTTTGATAATCCAAAAGGTGGATTTTACTTTAATATAAAAATTCTTTTAGTTTAAAAATTTGAAATTACTAAAAAATATATTAATTTCAAGAATTAATTATCGAGATATTTAACTCCAGTTTTCCTCAAATTTATATGTGGCAAAGAATTATCACTTTAAAAACTATAAAAAAGATTATTATTAACAAATAAATAATCATATTAATAAACTAATTTAAAAATCTTATTGAAGCAAAAAAGAATTGAGTTATCTTTTTAAAAATTTTTCAGAAGATAAAGTATCCCAAATCGGTATTTTTCATTGTCACCAATGAATTCTGCGAGAGATTCTCTTTCTATGGAATGCGCAGTAAGTATATAAATAATTAATATCAATTCAACATATAAGTATTAACGTCTACCACATTCTGCAACTGCGATCTATGTAATTTAAAAATAGTACTTCGACACAATTAGAACAATTGTTCCTAATTATATTCCTACGACTAAAACTAAAGTAATTGTCAATTGGAAATACCAAATAGAAAATTTCCACTTTATTATATTATGTAAGATATACTTAAAAAAAAGCATATAGTATATATATATTATTTCATAGATCTTTTAAGGCATATCATCCAGTACTTTAAAAATAAGTATAATGCAATTAAAATAAAATTATTGTATTTATATTTAAATGTATATTACATTTAAGTGTATTTTTATATTTTGAATAAGATAATATGTCAATTTTTACTTGATTCTTTAATAGTGAAATCTTGGTGAACTAAGAAACTTAGCGGCTTTGATGTTAATGTTAAATATGATTAAATGTCACTTTATTAGACTGTAGATTGATACGTAATTATTTTTCAGCCATCCTGGCGTTGTACTTGAGTAACATGCTAAAGTACAGCGAAAATACAGCTACAATGATCTATCATGTCTTCATCTGTTTCGTCTATTTCTTCCCGCTATTCGGCGCAATCGTGTCTGATTCCTGGCTCGGAAAGTATTGCACCATTTTTTATGTGAGCATTATTTATGCGATTGGACAGCTGATTTTATCTGCAAGTGCGACACCTCCTTTCGGACTACCCGCAAGGTCGGTATCAGAATATGTATAAAACGCAACTATAAAAATAAAAATATAAGTATTAAAATTAGTACGCATTTTAAAAATAATTTTTTACAATTTTACAATTTTTATATTTTCTTTTCTTTACATTAAACATATTTCAACATTATTAAAAAAAATACCACTGAATTTAAATATTACTTGAATAAGGCATAAATTTACATACTGTTTAAATGCTACTTGATTTGGAAATTTATTTTCTATACATTCTGTCGATAAAGAAAAAATATAAAATCTTAACTTTCAATTCTAATTTTCCAGGGAATTGTCCATGCTAGGCTTACTTCTGATTGCGCTTGGCACAGGCGGGATAAAACCTTGCGTGTCAGCTTTCGGAGGCGATCAGTTCATCCTGCCTCAGCAGGAACGATACTTGGCAATGTTCTTTTCCCTTTTCTACTTCTCCATTAACACGGGTTCTCTGATCTCCACTTTGCTTACTCCAGTCCTACGCGAGACAGAATGCTTCGATGACGAATGCTTCTCTCTGGCATTTCTGGTACCGGCTATTTTAATGATTATATCGATTGGTAAGGAACGAGATACATTTTATTTCACTATTATGAAAATATTGCTAGAAAATAGAATTTTATTAACGAAATCTTATTTTCAGTAATATTCGTCTCGGGAAAACCAATGTATAAAATAGTGCAGCCTATGGGTAATCTCATTCTCAAGGTTTCTAAGTGCATTCACGTAAGTTTTCGCATCATCTCAAAGAATTTTTCGCGATTGTCTTAATCATCCCAAAACTTCACAATAAGAATTATATCCATAATCTGCCATATAAGAACAAAAGGAAAATTTTACTCTTGAAATACACACGATTTAATCAAATGCATAATACATAGTATTGTACGTGGGATAGATTTTCAAATGTAATAATTTTTTACAGCTCTTAGAATTTATGGATCAATGCGATTTTATGAATCTTTTCAATCATTCGTATCGATCTATTCGTATTCTTATATTTCTAGAAATATTTTTATATTTCAAAAATAGAAATTAATCTTTCTTCTTTTGAACTTTTATTTCTACGAATTTTTTAATTTAAATCGGAGATCTTTTAAAATCTTTTCTTTCTGTTTTGAAAAATTAGCGCGCAATCTATAATAAAATAAAAAACAAAGGAAGGAAATGCGATCACTGGCTCGACCACGCCGATGATAAGTACGAAAAAAACCTAATCGAAGACATCAAGGCCGCATTGCGGGTTCTGAAATTGTTCATACCGTTGCCAATATTCTGGGCGCTCTACGACCAGCAGGGCTCTCAGTGGACGTTTCAAGCAACGCGGATGAATGGTCAGATAGGCAGTTTCGTGTTGCTGCCTGACCAACTGCAAGCTCTCAATCCGTTATTGATCATCATTTTCATACCCATCTTTGAAACCTGCATCTATCCGGTTTTCGCCAAGATACACATAATCAACACGCCCTTGAAAAAGCTCGTTGTCGGGGGATTCTTAGCCAGCGTGGCCTTTATCGCGGCCGGTCTTGTCGAATTAGAACTCGAGGTATTGAAAAAACAATGTTTTCCCATATCATGCAATAATATAATTGGTTTCTATATACCATTATAAAATAAAGAAATGGAGTTTTGATTTTTATATTTTATTCCAGAAAACTTATCCAATATCACCGTCAGAAGGATTGGCTCAAATCCGGATTTTCAATACGATGGATTGTCCCGTAACTCTAACGAATACGACAGGATGGAAAGTTGAAATAAAACCGCTGAGTATGTGGTCGGATTTAGAAATAAAAGCGAAAGACTCGGTTACGTTGTCCTACACAGCGAATTTCACAACGTGCAAAAATAAAGGCTATGTTACCGAATTAAATAATGAAGTGTCAGGTAAAAAAATCAAGAATTGTATAGATACTGCAATCTCACCGCGTACATTACAAGTAATTCCTTTTGTCAGGAGAAATTGTAGCCAAAGAAGCCACCGCGTTGTCTTGGATCATAACGCCCAAGGGACTGAAAAATTACTACGAAGACGATGTGGATAAGCCGGATAAGGGTAAACCGACAGTTCGCAGTCTCATCTATCTAGCGCCTGAAATGAATCGCAATTCCAGCCTGAGATTTGTCTATGGCGAATCGGACGAGACGGTATTGTCAATAACGGTCAACAGCTCGATTTTCGCGCATTCGGAGCCGAAACAATTCGAGAAACCAGACAAATATGACGTCTACCTAGATGATTATCTGCTGAAGAAGGAGGTGCCCTTTAAACTCGGCGGAGCATACACCGTAGTGGGTAGCTATATGTCCGCCGTCAAAGAGGGTAATAACATTACCGGTGAAATAATCACGGTCACGCAGCCCAACTCGCTTCACATGGCCTACATGTTGCCGCAATACATCATCATCACGATGGCTGAGGTGATGTTCTCTATAACGGGCCTGCAATTCGCCTTCACCCAGGCGCCGGAGAGTATGAAGTCTATATTACAGGCAGGTTGGTTGTTGAGCGTGGCCTTCGGCAATCTCATCGTGGTGATCATAAAGGGTTCGCGTCCTTTCCAGCGGCAGGTAAGCGGTTCACATCCAATTATGCAATTGGTGGGCGCAATTTTCCAGTATCCTTTGTCGAGTCCATTGTTATCTACAACTCTCACGATACAATCTTAAAATTTTAATTTGACTATCTTTGTTTTGTTGAAATCAGCGCAATGAATTTTGTTTCACAAAATAAATTTCATGATTTTGTTCCGTTCTTATACAGGATTTTTTCTGGTTAAAAAGTCCAGTACATTTTATGTTTTTTCTATTATTCGCGTGTGTGACGTCCGAAATATTACTTAAATTCTTACCTACTATATTAAGGAAAATTGACGAATTAATCAGAAGATAATCGTCAGACTAAATTTTGGGAAATCTTTATATTTATTTATTTTGCAGGTCTACGAGATTTTCTTGTATGCTGGTCTGATGGCGGTGGTTATAGCGATATTCGCCGTGATGACCATGTTCTACAAGTACGTGGAAATGCCGGAGGAAGAAGTCAATAATGAGGCCATATCTCTAGAAGAAAAAAAGGGTAATGTTAATCCAACCTACAAAGAGGACGAAAAGTGACGACAAGAGCGGGATAATTGAGCGAGAAATCATAGTGAGATTTCATGTGTTCTCTTATTCGGACGAAGGAAGAAGCGCGACAGCTTTGTCAAGAATATTATCGAGATTCCGTTTCTATCAAACGTCTGAACACCTCGAGTGCGATAAAATATGTGAATTTTTCATAAACTCATCTCTTTCTACAATAGAAATTTCATTAAAAAAAACTTATTATAGACTTGAGAGATATACATCGCATTGAATAACAACTCGACGAAAATTCGTAATGTATTTTAACCGTAAAAAAAGATGGTAAAATATAAATACCTTATATTTTGGGATAATATTTAAAATTGCAAAGATTTTATGATTAAGAAATTTTAAGTTTTCATATACATGTCCTGCAATATTAAAACAAAATTAACAAAGAATATATAATAATAACCAAGAATAGTGAATATTGTATAATTGATAGACTCGTCTAAATCATGCGGCAATAATTGTAAGATTAGGAATTGTTAGAGATTGAAAAATTAATTATTTAACTTATACGTATGTTGTGCGTGAATGTTATGAGAAATTTAATAAACGAATGAGAATGCTATTATAACTTTGTAAATATGATGATTAATGTTTATATAATCAGAGATTTATGTTTGATGTTACCAGTTTTAAACGAAAGATGTACATAAATGTTTTCACACGAGAAGAAAACGATAATGAAATTAATGACAATTGAACGATGATTATTTAAATACAAAACACAAAAGTAGAAAATTGGATACACTCGAAAATTATCGAAGCAGTTCAGATTGTAAAATCATTAGAAAATTGAAAGTCTCGATGTGTTTGTGTCTATAACATTTATTTCTACAAATCCGGCTAAGTTTTCACAAGCTCTAGCGAAACAACAATGCGTGTGTCATGTGATTCGATAATCTCGAGAGTGCAATAAATCGCGTAAATATTCAGTTTCGCTGAATTCTTATCATCGAACGTACATCGTCTCGCGAAACGCACATACTGCGGAAAAGTAACAATCTCGATTGATTTTCTGGATCAAAAAGGCTGTCGTCAGGCAACAATTCTCCTGCCAAACCTCGATATGCAGGGTAATGCGTTTATCAAGAATTGAATAGCAACTATCCCTGCGCTTGCAAAATCATCCGCGTAGGCCAACAAGGACAATTCAGCCTTAAATAATGTATATTCCGCCCTTTCATTTCAAGATTGATACCAATATATAATTTCGGGCATCAAATATATACGATAATTATTCTTATGGTTATTTGCGAGTAAATGAAATTTTGAGATCAGATCATTTTTTCGCGCACTTTTATCATTGAAAATCAAATTTCTGGAAACCGTACCGTATTTCATTTCTTATCGAAAAAAACAAACGGAAGTGATGTTCGCCTCGTCAATTTGCCTCTAGAGTCCTTGATAATCTAGGACTCTATCTGCCTCAAATAGCCATACAACACGGAAGAATTCTCCTTTAAAAATCCACCCTTACTTCCTGCCGACTCAAAACTATTTTTTCTTCTCTCATTGCTTCCATCATTTCATTTTCATTTAACGTTTAAGTCGTTCCTTAATTCTAAAAACAACTACGATCAGTTTTGACATTCTATGATATAGCGTAAACCATTACTAATGAGTACCATCACATATACAGTGACACTTAATTTCACGCGATAAATTAAAACATGATTATCCATAAAAAAACTTCGTTTTTGAGATGTTTTTCAAGATTCCTATTTATCGCGCGCAATTAAGAATTACTCGTATACACAGAATGTGTTCCAATACCCTTACCGTTTCTGTCGAAATCCTCGTTCTATCGATTCAGTTATCGTGAAATATCTTTTTTCATTAACAATGGAACATCCCGTACATTCGACATCTCTCGGTAAGTCAATTATCGACGTACGAAATTCGATTTTATTCATCGCATAAACTACGAAACCCTTAAATGTGATATAAACGACTAGAGCGCCATTCCATATACATATACCGTGCTTCAAGTACCTGCAGAAAACAATTTCGCGCTCGCGGGTTGCGATCCGCATTATTTATCCACTGCCTAACAAAGAATTCATTTAGCAATCTTATATAGCGCTTAGTGTATTAACTCTAACAAAGGCTCGTGATTAGAGGTTCGTTAGTTAGAAAGAGGTTTGCCGTTAGAACGGCAGATGGCCGACGGGGAAGGGCTTTTTATTCTCACACTTTACTTCGCTGTGGCGTTTAAGAGAATCCTCCTTCTGAAACAAAGAAAATCATGTTTTGGTCATTGTTTCGCAACAATTTCACGAAAGCATCATTGTTCTACGTTTTTTACATGTGTTATGCATATTTCCAAAAATTTTGCAACTTCACTCTCGTTCTCACCGTATGTGCACGTAGCTTGTCGAACATTTCACGCGCGGTGTCGAAAGCGAATGAACCGACCTGCGCGGCTGCGCTGACCAGCGTCTCCGGCAGCATATGAACAGAGGCGGCGCGCATCAGCGCCTGCTCTCTAGCAGACGATACGGCCTTTCTCGACCCTATGTTGGAACACGATCTGTCAGAGGATCTGTTCAGGTGATAGGACTGATATGAAGCACCGAAAGAAGGATCTTGCAAACAGGAACAATTGTTGTTCGGTGCGCATGAGTATTCTGGATAGTTGTTTGGACATTTGTAGCGATGATTCTGGTTTGTTCTAGTTTCTTTTGTCCAACCACCGTCCACTCGTACATCGTGGTTGTTTTTCGGAGGCACTGTTGCCGTTGTTGTCGCCTCTCGTACATCCTTGGTTGTCGATATCACCGGCTCATCATGCATACCGTTGACATAAGTATGAACATATACATCAGTAGTGTCGTCGGTCACCGACGTAGTATGCGAGTGGAAGCTTTGTGTAAAGTCACCCAAGTCGGTCTGTGACTCGCAGTTACACTGCGACTGCGTCTTCGAATCGCAGTGAGTTTGCACAGTTAGATAGCTTGCGTGCGAGTTTCTCACGTCATCGTACGAACCGTTCACGTCGTCTTGAGGGCTTTTTCGCTCATTCGACCAATGCTCCGCACATGGTGACTTCGAAGAACAAGCCTCGTCTTCATCCTCCGTCAAGAGATCATCCTTTGCGAAAAAACATTGATGCGTAACATTGGGTTGTTTTTCCAAGTCCAAGTCCCAGTCAACACTGATGCATTCATCGGGATTCATCATCTGATGTTCGTCATTAAAGATCTTGCCATGGACGTCCATCACATAGACAGAGTTCGTTGGATTTGTTTCCATAGACTGCTGTTCAAGCTTTTCTTCGTTTGCCGAGAAGTGGTCTTCGTTCAAGTGTATAGAACATGGCGGCGAGGGCGGCTCTGAAAGTAGTTCGAAGCTGGGCGAATCTCGATTGCTGTCGTGGTGCCGTTGTTCGATGATAATAGATAGATCTTCATTAAAAGCAGGTATATGGATAATCTCGAAAGTGTCATCATCTTCTTCCTTTTCCTTCTCTTCCTTCTGCTCCTGATTGCACGACCAGGAACTGGTCAAGTTGTTCGATAACATCTCTTGTACATCCTTCTCGGTTTTCAATAACTTGTTATCGAATGTGTCGCAGACTAATGTGTCTCTATTAAGGAGACCCTCATTCAACATTTGATGCCCTGTGACAGAGCAGTTCATACGGAACTCGTTTTCCACCAGTTTAAACATGTCCAAATAAACTGTGTCGTTGGACACTTTCGAATCCATCTGCAGAGGCAGATTCTTCCGAGAAGTGAGATCCTCTCGCGTGTTGTTCCGAACGGATTGCTCCTTTTCTCTCCCGATGTCGCCGCTCAACTCAACGATCGCTTGAGCGATTTGCTGATCTTGCCTCTTCTTTTTTTCCTTCTCGGCGTTCGCACGAATCGCGTCCTCGATAAGGTCAAGTCTCCTTTGCAGCAGTCGCGTGGAATTATCTAGAATTTTCGAATACCACGACGATTCGTCCACTCTCACGGTTGAGATACTATCATTCGACTGCTCCCTATCCTGAAGTTTTATTGTTTTTTGGTTCTTCTCACTCAAATACGAATCGAAAGAATTTTGGGAAAGTCGTGTCGAGGAAGGAAAATGCGAAAGAAATTGGTTTCGGAAAGGATCTTTACACGGGATAGATGTAAGAGGATCCGCAGGAATTTTGTCCAGCAATTCCGTCACCTCTTTCACCACTTCATTGGTAATTGTGGATATCACATCTTTCTTCATCTGTATATTTTTCATGGTGTTCTCGTTTCTCGATTCATCCGCGCGTTCGATCGACACGTCACTCAACTGTTCCTTGTCCTGAGATCTTATCTTCTTCTGGTTCTCCTCGTTTGAGTCCGAGCATTGAGGATGTCGTGTTGCGAGAGAAGAATACTGACTTCCAGATTGATTCTTAAACGGCGAAAACACAAGGGAATCCAAGCGTTCGGTCAGCGCCTTTGTTACGTTTTCCACCACTTCATTGGTAATTGTGGACACCATGTCTTTCTTCATCTACGGACCGTTAAGATCAATTCGTTTTGCGGCTACATGTCTATTTCATTTTGATTATATTTTATTTAAAGCTATGCTATATTTTTTATGTAAATGCTTTTATCCAAATGTTAACATTAATATCGTAATACAGGAAATGAGTGAATAATAAGTAATAATTATTTTGTGCAAATAGATAACGAGTTCTGGAAAAAATTTTCGCTGATTATAAAATACTGCTGATATAAAATACACAAATTAAAATTAGCAACGCTTACCGATTCCATGTATTTTGTAAACCACAGAGGAGGCAAAGCATCCGAACAGTGCTGTAACGAAGCGTTCAATTCCCCTTGAACATCCACATCCTTCGATTCCGTTTGTTCGTCCATTCGTCGAACTTTTATCTCGTTTGATTCGTTATATTGTTTTGCATCTAATTTCTTTTGATTCGACGACATTTTACAGTTTGTAAGCCTTTGTTCGTCGTATTCAAGGTCCATTCTTCTCTTTGAGAAGTTTATGGTCTCTTTGGAAAGTGTACCTGGTCCTTGGATAGAATATGGTTTCCTTATTCGAGGGTCAGAGTAAATAAAAGATCTTCTGTTATTCCATGAATTCGCCTTCCATGTCGATTTGACATCGACATTCTTTAATTGTTCTTTGTCCGAACAACGGTTCTCGTGCATACAAGAGGATTGTTCGTCGTCTGACCCGTTAAAAGAACCCACGATCAATGGAATTGCATTGTTCATCTCGAAAGAATTTCTTGCAAGCTAAAACGAAAGATTTTCAATGATTCTAAATAGCTTGCTTCAACCCTTCTCCAATCTTCAAACTCGGATTGAAACACGCAATACAAATTGTCTCGCGCGAAAGTCATTACTTCAAATATAATTATATATCCACGATAAAAAAAAAACTGTGCAATATTAAATAGAAAAGATAAAGGAAGTGAAACTCGAAACAAATCCTTCTATTATTCGGCTTAATGACTGCAATCTTATATAAAGTGTGTACCTTCAATGCCTCATGAAACTCGCATTCTGAATCGATCGGAACATTGTCTCCGTCATCGTCGATGTAGAAAATGCGTCTATTCTCTGGCACTCCAAATAGCTTTCTCTACAATAAACACGCAAGTGTTATCCTATTTAATTCACAGATATACAAAATGCTCCGAAAAAAATGTGAGAATCGGTAATAGAAAATATTCGTTAAATCAATATATATTTCAATTTGCGAATATTATTTGTGTCGTTTTCACGATCTGACACAAATAATAAAACTTCGAAAACTTATGAAATATAAATTAACGTGAAAAATAGAGAGAGAGAGAGAGAGAGAGATATCAATGTAAACGAGAGAAGCGAATAAATACAAGCGTTTAAAAAATATCACTGCTCTTGAACGCGCTCGAGCATACTTATATATATAAATTTTGCTATTTAAATAATTATTCGCGTCATATAAAATGACTTGTCATTCTCTTGTATTATTATGCATCGCATTAAAATGTTAATACTATAGATATAAAATAGATATTATTAAATATAATATATATTTAATATATCTATGAGGTTTTAATATCTCCTACACAAGATTCCACACGATATTAATTATCACGACATCTATTTTCTCTTTGTAAGCGCAAAACTGAAAATATTTTTGTTGCAGCGAGAATGAATAGCAAATCTTCTCTCAAACACGACAAAATGTAAAGATTTTTTCATCTCGAACTATCGTTACATCCGCGAACCGATATATTTTCGCACCAAAAATTGTATACATACAAATGTTACGGTTGACACCGTGAAATAGTGCTAACGAGGTGGAAAGATGCGATTTTTCGAGGTGTTGCCTTAAAATAATCCGCGCTAAATACACGAGAGAGAAAGAGAGAGAGAGAGAGAGGGAAAACGCGACTCACCAGCTCTGTCCGCAGCAACTTCAAGTCCAAGTTAGGCAGGCGCGAAAAGGTGATATTGCCGCCGGACTTGCTATCCGCTGTTTCCTTTACATAAAAAGAATAATACTCCGATTCGTGCATCGTGGTCGGCATCGTCGGCACTGTCATTGTCAATGACAACGACAATGTTCACTCACGCGTCTTCGTGAGCCCGGGAGCGCAAGATGGTGCCGCTCCGAATCCGAATCAGCTGGTCGGGACCTCGGGATTCGGGACCTCCGACTCGCAATACCAGCGCGTCCGCGTGACGTTTCTCCCTCGTTCTCTTCTTCTTCCTCGAGCTACGTTCCTCTCGGAACGCGATGACGCATCGGTGGCCTTTTGCGATGTGCGGCACGAGGTTTCCTTCTTCAACGAACACTGTTATGTCACGGCACGAGCAACGAACAACGGCATAATAATTGCGCTGAGACTGAGAGCTACGCTATGCTCGCGCTACGCTATATATATGTGATGCAATGGCGTAGTGTTTTTGTGTAGAAACGAGAAACACATGAACTATGCGTACGATCATGCGCAAACGAGACACGTGGTATTCCGCTCTGTCACTTCAAATCTTCGATCCGTATATCTATACATCATTTCGTTGTCCACTCTTAATTCCATGCGATGACATGTGTGAAGAGGAGATGCTTTATAAAATAAATAATTTATTTTAATAAAATAATAATACATTATATCTATATAATTTATATGTGTATATATATGTGTATATATTTCTTTCTCTTTTTACATTCTCTAAGATTTCTTTTTTGATTAGTAGATGTGAAAAAATAATAGTAAGAATATTTTGTATAATTCGCTTAATCACAATTTAAGTAGACGGATGTTGCAAGGGAGAGAGACTATAATTTTAATGTGCGATATATTAGAATTAAATTTAATTCAATCGACAGATAATTTCCTACTCCGGGATGTGGACACACAATATGCACAATCATGTACTACAAATCGCTATATACCAATAGTCTATTTGTACACAGATTGTCCTTTCATAGTATTCTCTGTTTTTTTACACGACTTATAGATAATGTATATTTGTGTAATAATATAATATATGTCGTTAGTGTCAGTAAAGAAGACTAGAAACATAGATTCATGCTTTTAACGTATTATCACACTCATTGGCTAAGAGGTACATTAATCACTTATAATGATATATATTGTAGTGATAGAGGAAAAGGAAGAGCTCTTTATATCGCGAGATCTTATGTATCATTATGCTCGCCTTATCCAGCATAATAGGCGAATAGAGATGGATCTTGTAATAGCAATAACGCAAAACAAAGCTACTCACTCACTCCTATTCGCTTTGCATTAAATATATAGACATCTGATATTTGCTAAAATAAATAGTAACTCTGCATTTTCGACTTAGAAGATTAGTAGCAGATTTATAAATTCTCTTTACACAGCTAACAATGACGCGATTATAGAAAAATAAAATATATTGTCCTTTTAAGCCAACAAATATTATATGTGTATGTGAGTATGTGTTGTGTGTATCTATTGGTAACTGTTGAAAGAACAGTTTCCTTGCAGTAAGCATATTTGAGATTATTGTTCACAAAGAAACATTGCAGCTCGAAAGGTGTAAAAGTGGGAAACATACAACTTATTTTGTATGTTTGTACAGCTCATGCTATATTGACTTTCTTATATCACATAAAGCAGAAGATAACTTACTTATCAATACAATTACTAGAGATAAGAATAAAATAAAATACAACGCAATTAAAAAACATTAATCCTATAAACAATTTGCTTCAATTCAAATAAAATTATTTGGTATCACCATTTAAAACACATTAACCAATTCCGTACTCAAATATAATGGAAACAATTCCGTACTCAAATATAATGAAAAAAGAGCACAGACTCAAATATTTTAATTTTTTTCGAAAGATCGATTAGATCGAAATATATATTTTTACAATAAATATCTTGATAAAATATTATCACGCATAAAATAGTTTGTGAGGAACTCGTTAACTCTGTGTCTCATTCCACTGAATATATATATATATAGAATCAATAACAAAATAATATAGCATAAAATTGGAACCTCTTCATAGCTTTGACCTTCTTGACATTTTGTTGCTATTTTTCGAAAGGAGATATTTTTACATTTCAATAAAAATCATCCGATATATCGCGTTCTGTCATGTATATTAAAACGAATATACTTTGTGAAATGTCATTTAATGTGATATTTATGTATGTATATTCTAAAAAGAATGTATACAAAAGTGTATGTGTGTGTTTCAAATTTCTCTGTGATATATAATCAATTGTATAATTTTGTATAATAATACAATATAACTTTCCGTATACATTTCGGTTACAAAACAGATTCGAATAGCGTTCCAAATTAATTAGTAATTGGTTTTCTCTTTCTTTACTTTCAAAGGAGTATATAAGTCTCAAAGAATAGACTTTGGTATACCGCTGCAGCGTGCGTATTCAATGGATGTATTCTGTCGAACAACCGCCAGAATGTCCATCGGATATCCGAGCTGCGAAGCGGCGGATGACGAGTCATAGAAAAATAATACGACAATCGTACGGTAACTCTGTTCCTGCTATGAAAGTACAAACTATAGTACGTCTCAACATTAGAAAACAGTTGGATGTTCTCGGACAAACGAGCGGTTTTGCACGTCGATTAATTCGTCGTCCTTCTTGGAGAATTTTCGTTACCTTAACTCATAAAAGTGCTGTCGACAATTTAATGTTTCGATGCTAGAAGAACCGATGTATCGCGTTTTGTGCAGGAAGAAAATGGTGCTGTTTTTTTATATAATATTTCGGAATTTTATCAGCTAAAAATTTATTTTTCGGAAAAAACAACTAATAATTTTTAGGATTAATTTTCTTTAGAAAAGCGTCAACGTTTCGTAAAATCAAATCAATTGAAAGGCCGCAAAAAACAGATATTAAATCCACTCGCATAAAATCGTTAACTTGTCGACTTGTATGTTTACCGTGCTTTGGATTCACATACCAACGTAGACGCTCATAAGAGTTGTCTTATTTCCGGAACGAAAGGTAAAACATCGGTCATTCTAAATGTCGAATCGATTTCTCCTTCCTCTCACGTAAAACACTTTACCTTCCGCGCCGTATATAAATATTAAAGTTGTGTATACACTCAAATATAATAGATAAACATTTCCGATATGGTACATTAACAGTGAGCTAAGCACCAGGGAAGATTTCTTCGAATTGCACGCGCGCGCGTGGTTGATTCTCTCTCTTTCTCTACTTTACTGAAACTATATGTGGTCCTCTTCTTTGTTGTTGCTTTGCGCCGCCGGCGTTGCCGGGGTAGGATCGTCATGGAACATCGGATTTTTCACCTCCATCTCGCCCGTCTTTAACATATAAATCACCGAAAGCCGCTGTTAGAATAAATATTTGTAATCTGAGATTTTGAGAATGAATGTTTGGAATTTTGAGTTAAAAAAGATGTGTAGTTTATGAAAAATACTCACAGAAGCAAGTCCCGGACACTCATAAACGGTGTAGTCACCCTCCTCATTTTCCTCGTCGCTCTCTGCTTCTGAAAGGGAACCCGGGTCCCTTGTTGCAGAAGTGCGACTGCAACAAACAGCATTTCCCCTTTATATATATATATATATATATATATATATATATATATATATATATATATATATATATATATATATATATATATATATATATATATATATATATATATATATATATATATATATATATATATATATATATATATATATATATATATATATATATATATATATATATATATATATATAACACCTTCCTTTAAAACAAATTTAAATACTTGTTCATTCTCTCTCTCTCTCTCTCTCTCTCTCTCTCTCTCTCTCTCTCTCTCCCACTTTCTCTTTATATAGAGATAGTGAATTCACTTTTCCATGGCGATAATTTGTTGCTTCTGATGTTGGAAATGGTACATCTGGGCAGACTGGGCGAGCCTCTGGTCACCAGAAGGCGACACATCCTTGTTCGGTCCTGTTACGCCGTAAGCAGGATACTCTATGTCCGCTGCAGCTTTCGCACCGCGTCTTAGTCTAAAAAATAAAATAAAATGCTGCGAGAAGAAGCAAAACGCGTGTCAAAGAGGCCAATTATCGTAACCAGAATTACCTGCACCACGTTAAACTGATCAATACCAGAGCGAACATCGCTGCTGCACTGCAACCGGCAACTATGGCTGAAAAAAGAAACGTATCAATCGTGTCGATCGATCCATTCTCTTGCAATCGTCATATTTCACATCTCTCCGCTTACCAATGAAATAGATGTCATTATTTAAATCGTGATTCATGGGCACCATGAACGGACCCTTAGGTCTGTCCGTCTGTTCCGAGGCGTCAAGTCGTACGACCAATTCTTTCGGTGTCTTCTGGTTGATATTTCGCAAGTTGTCTTCGTGCTTTATCAATATTGGCTCCTTATCCGCCTCTTCTTCTTGCCAATTCGTTCTCAACATGTCTTGCTGATCGTCTACGAGTTACATAAACCAGAATTTTTAATTGCATTCATAGAGATTGTCTTTGAAAAAGAAGTAAAAGATAGCAAGTCTCTCTATATATTTATCAATAAGTCAATGTGTTTATAAAAAGAAAAAGTTTAAAAAAAGAAGAGATTAAAAATAAACGACTAGATATTATACAGGCTTGTATAGACTTAGGTTGACGTAATTTAACCCTTTCAAGACTCTAGGGCAATGCTTCTCAAACTGGTCTCCTTAGACTAAGGTCAAGGAGAATCCACGTGATAAAAGTTAATTGCAAATTAAAAGATGACTAATATGTAATAGAAAAAAATTTGATAATAATCTGTATCTTTTTTAAGGAGAAAATTCAATAGAAATGCACAAAAGAGTAATAATATTTTTGATTTGATTATATTCCATATGCAAACTCTGCATAAGAGAAAATTAACTAAATTTATTTTTCTTTATTTATTAGAATATTATATATTTTTAAATTATAAGATATCACAAACTCGTAGCTCAACTTTGGAGAGAGATGGTGCATGAATAGGTAGAAAATCCGCAATAAATTTTGTATTCTTTGCAGGATTTCATGCGCTAAAATAGATTGAGAAACACTACTCTTTAGGACAAAGGCAATTGATAAGAGAATCAATCAGTGCGAATGTTTACCCGACGAGAATGGCGCATCGTTGTAGTATCTGGGATCGTTCGGTGCCATCGCAAACGGATGTTTCTCCTCGAGATTCGAATTGTCAAACCTGTACGTAAATTCCGGCTCGGTTGCCTCCGCCGTCGCCGATGCCGGTCGTGCTGTTTCTCTTCCACCCTCGTGATGCAAGAAGGTGCCCGCAGGATTGTGATCTATATACTTGTGGAAAGTGTTTACGATAGGTCTCTCCATCGCTTCCCCTCTATCCACATCGAAAGTCGGCCCGTACTCAAGATCCTTGGAGAAGTGACCGCCATTATTCGTCTCGTCCGGCTGCTTCTCCTCGGGATAATCCGGATACTTGTTATCCAGATTGTAAAAATATTCCGAATCCTGACTCGTGATCTGATTGACAAGGGAATCGTGATAATGGGGTGAATGATAATAACGCTCCAGCCACGCCTTCAATTTCCGATTCAGGATGTCCTCGGCGGCCTTCCTGTCGGGTATGAACTCGACGATTCCTCTGCGTTCTTCCTGATGATTCAGCTGCTGAAGATTGCTGTGTTTCTTGTGCATAGGCGACAGGAATGTGGCCAGATGCGAGCGATGAAGACGCTGCTGAAGACGGTGTGCTTCCAGATAGCGGGCCAGGTGTTTCAACGCGATGACCTCCGACGTTTCCGGGAGCGCATCTGCATAATGTCAGTTTGAGAAAATGAGAACCGCGTTCTCGTTTCCGCACCGCGCTTTTACCAATCAATAACGTCAATACTAATTACCAGCTTTATTCTAATGGCTAATTTCTAATATAAAACTCGTATTCGACAACGAGAAGATAAAAGTAACGCGGCTACATATAGCGCAAAGTACATCATGAGGATGAAAATTGAAGCATTCGAGTTTTATATGTATTTAATCTTTAAAATGCAATGTCAGTCTGTAGCTCACCGCTATATATATCGTCTATTTCCATTACTATTAAAGTAATAGTCTCCTTTTGTCGAAAAATTATTTTATCTTTTCAATTGTATCATATTTTTTCGCTCATTACGTTCTTCAAAGATGTTATTCTCTTTAAATGATAAAAAAATCATGTTACATTAATATTCCATGATGCGGTCTCCCTTTAGCACTCGACGTACGATGTAAGAATATACAGAAAATAAATTCTTCTCAAATGACAAAGAGAGTTTTCTGCACAATGAGACATTGATCTGCGAAATTGCAATTGGAATTTGCTTATATCATAATCGCATTAGCTTTTAATTCCATTTTATCCGATTAATGTTGCGAACTGAAACATCGTGAATTAAACTGGAATTTTATCGAGCTTGAATTGTTATCATCGAGCTTCCTGTAGTTTTCCTCAGCACGTAGAAACGGGTTTCCTGCGGTCAAGATACAACACGCATTTTGCGATAACACCGACTGGAAAAATTAACATCTTAAAACTTCTTCGCAAAATTCTAAACTTTGTCAAAATCATTACATCGAACGGTCATCAGTAAGAATTGAATCAAATCCTCTAATCAAACAAACAATCCCGCAATTCACTCTTGATCTTCGATAAATTTTAATTATGATACACTTCGAGGATAAGATACCTCGAAGATGATGATGCTACGGATTATCTTTTCATCATACTCATAAATCATACATATAACAAAAGGCACAAAGTCCTTTTATTATATAATACAAATAATATATAATTAGTTTCTACATAATTTTTTAAAATTTCTCTTTTCTCTTTTTTAAAATTTTTATTTAAAAATAATTAATTCTTTGATATTATTGAATTTAATAGTATTAAACTTTTGTGTTTCAAATAAAACTTTCGACTTTTAGTAAAATAAGTAAGTTTTCTTTTAAAAAAGGAAACATCAAATGTAATGATAATAATTCATTGTATCGCAGTCAATTGCTTTCGTTTTCAAATTTTTAGTTTCTTAGATTTCTTCTGCAATTTGAAACAAAAATATTATTTAGAGAGAAAAATAGTTTTTTTTATATTTTACCTAAAAGATCACTCCCTATCCTAATATCCTCAAAGATTCCTTTCCCTGTAACATATTTTTTTCCTTGCAGACCAATCAAGCATATAAATTCGCATGAAATATTCTGTCAATGTGATTTCAACATTCAACGGATCAGTCTTTTTTAATTAACATGAAAGGTTACAAGTGACTGTCCTTCAGTAACGTTACCGTGTCATTCCCCCTGGAGACGTTGTCTCCCGAGACCATAGATTCTCTGCCTTACTTACCCCTATAGAAGCTGAGCTCGCCGATGGACAGGCTCAGCAGGAGCGGCATCAGCGTCAGCCAAGTGCAGCCCCGCCGAAGGAGCATCCTCTCGTAATAGTCGTCGTCGCTGCTGCTGCTCGGCTGCCAAAGGCTGTCCGCACACGAGATATACGACGATCCTATCGTCACTCTATTCGCGTCTCCATATGCGAGAAGCACGTCACTTCATTCAGGGCGGACGGCGAGCTTGCGCGGTTCGGCGCGCGGTTTCACATTTAATCAATAAACCGACCACCACCGAGACTTTCGCCCTCGCACGTCTCACCTTCGTCTTGTCTCGACGTCGCACGAGCGAGTACTCCGAGTTTCGTTCTTCGAAAACGCGACTCTTCACCGTCTCTTCCCTCTTGCTTCTCCACCATCCGTGCCGGCGATTAATATGAGCGCATTAGATGTCGTTAAACTGCTACCATATGCCCCCACTATTCCGCGCACCCGCATCCGCACATGTGAGGATTTATTCCGGTCACCAGATTCGCTACGGTTTCAATTCCCTTTCCGTCTGCTGGGACGTCACTCTTCGGAGTTCACCCGCTGACCAATGTTAGACGATGAGGAAATGATGTTTTCTCTCCTTTATATGATGTATATTTCAATGGTGGATACTGATGAATTTGTTGCTTCGGGATTATCAGGAAAAGAAGGATATCATTGAATAATAATAGTGATACCAAGACGGTTTCGAGTTACTTTCGATGTAATGCTCGATCTGGTAACGTGATGACACGCGTCTGAACGTCATTGTCCTTAGAAACGTAACGTTTCACTTTGTAACAATCATTTATTTAGTCAAGATACAGCGAAGTAAAAGTATATCAGTTCTTAACGTTCGATATAATCTTGTTCTTTTGATTTGTATTTGCATCATTTGATTCTCAATGACAAGAACACTTATTTACAGATAATCGTAATCTTTAATTATATCGACAGATTAACGTATCTAATTAATGTATCTCATATAAATAATGATTCGACTGAATCTTCCGGAATTTACAATCCAATACAATTTCTTGCTTTTGTCAGTTTAATCAGCTGTCATAATAATGGACGAAATCAAAACTATAAGACAGTACGAAAATTGATTTAGCTATGCATAGCTAAATGATCATCGCCTCAATTGTCGTCCATGAGAGATTCGCCCCTCAAAAGTAACCGAATTGGCTTGCGCTTCTCGTCAACTTTCTGTTTCCTCCTGCGGTTTATCACGCCATCAGAAGCATCCATCATTCGCAATATCTGCGTCTGATCCGAACAATCGACCGGTGCGACTGAGATATCCCGCACGGCTCGAAACTTTCCGCAATTGTTCAAATGCTCGTTTTCCAAGCGGAAGAAATTCCACACGAAACGCCTGTCGAGCAAACATTCCAACATTATATAACAGCTCAATTTCTCCCAATCACTCTCTCTATACACATATACATATTTGCAATTTATAAAAGCTGAAAAAAGAATTCACATATATCGTGCAAATTGTATATAATTCAATACATCCAATGAGATTAGAGAATATTGTGCAAATCTAGTGATATTTTATCGAATTCAAAGATAAGTCGAATTTAAATATATGTATCTTGAAACATACAAATTATATATCTTTAAACATAAAAATTAAAAAAAGACAAATTACAACGTGTCAAACACTGCAATCATGGGACTCCACTAATTCATCTTCATAATCGTTGTTGTCATAATCGTTGTTGTCATGGTCGTTGTCGTCATTCGTGTTGTCCATCAGACGGATCACGTTCCTGATATCATCGTCTTCGTCGCATCTGATGGGTCCTATGGAGATATCCCGCACTGCCCGGAAATTGCCTACGTTGTATAGATGCTCGTTCTCCAGCCGAAAGTAATTCCACAAGAACCTTCTAGCGACTTATTAGTATAAGGCGCATTGTTAAGCGATCAGATCGGCTGGTCTATCGTCGATTAAGTCGTGGTTTTCTCGACTTTCGACGATTAATTATTTCGTTACTATTATACAGAGTGCGGTCGACATTAGAATAAAGTCGCTTGAAGTAATTTCGAATGATGCAAGTAATTGTATATTGCATGCACATCACGAGCTTAAACATTAATTATCAAGAATAATAAGACAACAATAAGAATTCATGACTTACACTCATTAAGCTAATTCGACAAATAATTCTCACATCAATTCTGACAAATAATAGCACATTCCATGCCCATTCGCGATTGAAGCATAAATTTAAAGCATGCACTTACCTGAAAACCTCCAATGGAGCGACTATGGAAACCATAAGATCTGCGTGGACGTAACCCATCTCTGTCAGGGACAAGGAGAATGCCCATCCAAATCGCAAGATAAAATCTTCGACCATCGCAAAATAGTAATAATGCTGCAGAACAGAATAAGTGTGATAAATTAATCGTTAATCAATCAGTTAATCTCTTGCGGTGCAATGGCATGTGTAACACAATTATTATTTGTTTCAAATGTAGGAATGATGTGGGTAGCCTATGAATTAATTAGCAGCACAAGAGATTAATCTTACTTGTTACTAATGTTACTAATGTTATTGATATATAACAGAGTTTTTTTCTTAAACTTACAGGTGACGAATAAACTATCTCCTCCCTAAGAAACTTGTTCTCTCCAGGGCTGCTGTCGAAGAGACCCCAATCTAATTTTACATCCCATGTGTACGTGAAGCAAGAGCTTACTACGCTGACTGTGAGCCACAAGTAGAAGTAGGGATTCTCAGTAGACAATGCATAGTATTCTGTAGGAACAAAACCAATTTTGACAAATAAATAATATTCTTGATATCTTTATGTTAGAAAAAGCAAAGAACTTACTCTTGTTTGTCAAGTGCAGATAAGAGAAAATGACGACAAAAAAGCTTGTTGCATATTTGACCGCGTTTAGTAGATGCGGAAAGCCCTCCTTCGTATCCCGATAACGCCTTAAACATTGTGCAAATCGAAACCAAGCCGGTAAACAGACCACAAACGGTCTCATCGACAATTCACGCATTATACAAGTTTCTGTATCTATTAAAAAAGAGAAATATAGATATTTTAAGGAACTGAAGAAAAAAATAAATATAAATAAGATTTTTTAAAATATGTGGCACATAAAATAGATACTAGCGTGTTTATTAAAAACAATTATTTAAATGAAATAATATTGAGACATTTTATCAAATATTGATTAAAAATATAAATAATAAATCTAATACAATATAATAAAAAGTGTAAGAGAACATATTTCAAAAATGTCACGATATACATTTGTAATGTAAGTGACTCATCTTGTATCTATAGATAATGATACAAATTATACTAACCCGTAACGTCGGTCCAAGAAGAATTTTGGATATAGAAGCAAACGAAATATTGAAAATCCAGGAAGACTGTGTGAAGAGAATTGAGCTGATCAGCGAGCCAGAAATCTGCAAAGCCCACATAGAAGAAGGGCGCGCAAAAGATGCGACCCATAACGCGTAACGTCCAAAATCTGGCCTCGTGTCGCAACGTCTTGGTAGGATTGAACAGAAACAGTGCTAAAAGCGCGTAGAACAACACCTGTAAAAAGCTGAGATCAATTCTTTGAGATAATGAATTTCCTGCGTTATAAAATCGATCGATTATTCGTCGCGCTTTAAAATGGATTTCTTAAACAATAGAGTAGCGCTTAAATTATTCTTAGAACTCTATTCTTAGAAATAAATGTCAAAAACAGAAATAGGTATAATCTTACTGGTTGAACAAACGGCGGTACACCCAACGTATCGCTGTACAGAAAACCCAATATAGATATGGACCAAACCAGACCAAGTATGGTTGCCATTTCGATGATGTGCTGAAAGTACATGTATAAATCTCAACTCTCTCACAATACTAACAATCTTTTCTTAATTCTTAATGTTAACGGAAAATGATTTGATCGTGATGTATAGAATATTTATTTAATCTGTTGCAAAACCTGTTCTGATAAGTGATTGCGTGGATCAAGCTCGAATATCAGCACATGATTCACGCCAGAAGATCTCCAGCCGTAAACGTTAATTCCCATAAGAAACAGGAATTCTATCATAAGAAGAGGTCCGCGATAAATCCGACACAATACCGTCCAATTGTCCTTTTCTTTGTATCGCATAGCTGAAGCGGCATAATGTAATGCAGTTTAAATAAAAAAATAAGAAAATATAATTTTTCATATATCAGAGATAAAAGGAAAACATGTTCTGCTTACCGGACAGTGTCACAGCTATGAAAAGTATGATAAAAGCGCCGGAGAAGAGGCCTACTTTAAATGTGATCCACGGAGAGAGTTGTTCTCCGAGCGGAGGCACTCTGAGTCGCTTCATGGCTCGTTGACGATCACCGTGCTCTAGATCTCGAGTTACCAGAGCCTCGGTCTCCACAATGAGCCTATCTATATCCTTACGCGTATGGAAAACCGCCGTATCGACGTGCTCTGCACGCCATTTGGCACCAATGTCGACATTCAAAAGCTACAAACAATATCATTACATCATACAACCTGATCACATAGAATATATTCTAACAATTCTTTTCTAATCCTTTTACTTTATTAAAATTATTTATGCACAACTAGCATTGATCAAACTTACATACTTTGTCATGCTTCTTCAAGATTTTTCGGAATCCAGTGAAATTCAGATTCTGGTAGTTTTGAAGCAAAATAAGGAAAAGATAGAATTCGGAAAAGGCCAATTTCAATTCCTGTAATTTGCGTGCCGATACTGTCTTCTTATGCAAAATGTGACGGCGATAGCGCGCCTTACGACTTTGGCCATCCTCAGAAACTGACAGAATCTCGCTCAGATCGTTGTTAAGTGTGGAAAATCTACGTGTAGCCTCTGCCAGTTTTTCTGAAAGAAATCAATATTATTTATACACATTATATATCACTATATAATATCTATCAGAATATTTCTTAATAGAAAGAAACATAATTAAAACAAGAATATTTGAAATGTTAATATAAACTTTACCAGAATAGAAAGTGTTTATTTTGGCCAGTTCCTTGTCACAATAATGAAAAAACTTTTCATCAAATTTGCTAAAGTAGCTTTCCAAAACATGTGCTTCGCTTACATCTGCCGATGGAGCCTGCTCCACTGCAGCGTATAGGAGAGCCTTCATTTCCTATCGCATGATTATGAGATACAGCATTATACACAAAGTATCAGAGATATTAAATGTTTAAAGATATTTAGTTATATACTTTGTAAATATAATATACATAATTGCATTGTAATAAAACACAAAATATGCATGCGAGGATATATACTCAAAGTCAAATAGGACATATATTTTAATAAATTTTTTTCATAATTTTTGTGTTCACTATTCATAATTGAAGTGGCTTCCACCGTATATGAAACTGTGTGTATATGTGTGTGTGTGTATATATATATATATATATACGAATGTGTGTATATATAAAACTCTATATATAATACTATATACTATGATAATACTAACGATAAGTGTAAAAATATTTTCTACGCAGAATTTTCCGTACCTCGTAGTTGATATACTGTTTTCTCCATTCTGGTGTAATATGAGCGCTCAGATGCTCCGCAAATTTCATGCTTGAAGTGTCAGTTTACGCGACAATTCGCTATATGTATGCGCGACAATCGAATATGTTGACATACACGCGAATAGGATTGTAACGAGTTATTATTAGAATTTTCATGCATTCGCCGCGAACGACGACGCATGTTTGTACGTATTTACATTTACAGGTTATGCATGCGCGGTTCCTTCAGAGGGAACCTGGCGCGGTTGTCAAGATTATTTTTTCGCCTCTTTGTCAGGAGATGTTACAAATTTGTCTTTGCATACGAGTTCTATCGGCAGATGTTGTGAATAAAATTTTTTTTCGAGAGTTTTAACATTGTAAACAATTTGCGATCCACGTGATGTAGCAGCATGCTAATGTCGTGCACGTGTGTATTAAACTTCTCTTGTATCTCTCACAGGTATTCGAGTATATAGATGAGGAACATGCAAATTGTCGCTCGTTAATATTGCCGAAATAATTTTTATTGTGAATATGGTGAAGCTAATTGTATCAAAGATGCAATGTACAAGAATTATATCCTCACGCTATGTGAGTATAATGCGATATTTATTAATTAATACTGTCTATTTGGATATGTTAAATGAGATTGTGATTTGATTATGAGATCTGTATTCAGTTTTCAGCAAAGCCAAAAGCCCTACTTGACGATGCAACGTCCATTTCATTTGCTAACAATGAGATTAAATATAGGCATCATCCAGGTATCATTAAGCCTAGAACATCAACGTTCCCAGTATGGGCTTCAAAGGAGATACAAACAATTTTAAAAGGTATTTTGATTACATATAGTTTTTACTACACAAAATAAGTAAAATATTTATAAAACATTTAAATATACTAATCCATATACATATTATTCCATAATAATGTTTATAGAAAAAAATATAAACTTAAAGGAAATTAATGAAAGTGCAAAGAAGTTATGCCAATATTTAACTCAACGCTACCCACAGTTAGAACAGTCTGAGTTACTAACAAGATTACAGAAAGTAGAGAAACGTTTAAATGCTAATAATCATGATGAAAAAATATCTGTGAAAGATATAGATTTCAATAGAAACATGAAAGCCAGAAATATTTTGAAAGAACACGTTTATCACTGGCAACCAATTAATTTTGATAAACTTACCTGCTTGACATACCTGGTTGCCAAAAGTGTACAAAATCATGCAGTTTCGCATAAAATCTTGAATGAGATTAAAATACGTGACAAGGATTTTAGGCCTGAGACATTCTTTGATTTCGGTTCTGGTATTGGTACAAATACATGGTGAATATAAAAATTAATTGTGGTTTAAAACACCTAAAACATTATAAAATGTAAAATTGTTTAATATGCAAATATATAAAATAAAAATGGTCACATAGGGCAGCGTCTGAGATTTGGTCAGATTCGTTAAAAGAATACTTTTGTGTTGAAACATCGGAATCCATGATTGAATTGTCAGAAAGATTAGCGGAAGTTGCCAAGCCTAAAATCAAAGAGACATTCTATCGCCAGTTTTTTCCGGCATCCATGAATGTAAGAATATTATTTATAAAAATAATTGTAAAATGAATTTTTTTTTAAACTAAATAATTTGAGAGATATCTGCATTATTCCTAGCCTACTTACGATATTGTAATGAGTGCATATTCTTTATTTGAGTTGCCGAGTCAACAATTTCGTCTTGAAACGATATTAAAGCTTTGGAAGAAGACAGAAAAATATTTAATCATTGTGGAAGAAGGAACCAATGCGGGTTTCACGGTAGATTTGCTCAATATAATGATTTTACTTGGTTATATTTATATTTTGCTCATAGAATTCTCATTCTTACTTATTCTTTTCTGAAAGCTAGTGAATGAAGCACGAGATTTCATCCTCAGATATGCAAACTCGAAATATAGAAAAGAATCACAATTTGTTCATGTTTTCTCACCAGTGAGTATCAAACAGGTAAAGGCTCAAACAATTCCGAATGCAGTGTATCAGTTATATCTTTTTTTAGTGTCCACATGATTTGAAGTGTCCGCGACTCATAGACAACACTCCATGCAACTTCAGTGTTTTGTATCATCCGTTGCAATTTCTGGGTAGCAAGGGACACAAATCGCAACTGTATTCCTATGTCGTGTTAAAGAAAGGTATGTAAAAAAAAGAAAAACAAAGTAAGACAGAATAAAAATTGTTATCAAATGTAATCAATTCGACAGGAATTGCGAAAGTTTCACTGAAGTGTTAAATAATGTTCTAATCTTACATATAAATGCAAAATTTTCGATTAAGGTTTTTTTCTTTGCAGATAAACGTCCCGAGAATGATGAGCAGTGGCCAAAAATCGTGCGACCAGTTCTAAAACGTTCCAATCACGTAATCTGTCGCATGTGTCTCGCTAATGGTGAGCTGAAAGAAGACATCTTTACAAAATACAAACATGGAAAGTATGTATCAACATTAAATCTCATCAATATTCGAATTTATACAACAATTACGTGAGTTTTTTATCGCCAGGCATATGTACCGTTGCGCGAAAAGCAGTGAATGGGGCGATAGATTACCATTAAATTACGAACAACAGCAAGAAAGTCCAGAAGAGGATGGCATTTCTAATGAAACGACTACCACTATAGAATAAGAAAATAAAGTTTTGTTAAATATAATTCGTTTTTCTTTTATCATATCCATGTTATCCTCTTAAATCTGATTATTAGAATAAAATTAGAACAGAATTAGAATATGTAAAAAATAAACAATGTGCGCGCATTTTTTCGTGATTCACATATAGTAGATATATGTGTGCTTTCCAATATCTGAGATAAATTATTAATGGAATAAATCTAAAATCGAATTTTATTAATTTTTATAGTTAAATCGATATCGATTTTTATCGCTTAGTGAGTTTTATTTTTTTACTATGTATACTTAATATGTGTGTAGTACGGAATACAGATACTATAGTAATTATAAACTAAAACGAGATTACTTACATACATCTCTTTTTCGCTCTTTATATTTTATCACCTATAAAAGTTTAAAATATTAAAACCTGATTCTTCTCGCAAATATTCTAATAGATAACAGAACAATGGAATGTGCGTAACAGAATATTTGCTAAAGGGAAAAAAAAAAATAGATGAAATGATGCATATTGTAAAATTCAATCACAAATTCGTCTTCTCTTTTCTACAAATAAGATTCCTATATAATTATTAATCCTTAAAGCACTTGTCAAGTTGCCTCAAAATCTCTTATACGATTTCTAATATATTCTCTAATATATCTTCTCTTTTTTTATGTCGAAGCTTCAATTATCTTAAAAAAATAACATATCTTTGTAATTATTTAAATTTATATTTAAATTTAGATAATTATTTAAATTTATATTATTTAAATTTATATTTATATTTAATTTATATTATTTAAATTTATATTTAAATTTAGTATTGCCGAGATTTTGTCTTACGTCAGAATCTTTCCGAAATTTACTGTTTTCCCGTTTCAGCTGGACAAAGTTAATTAAGGGCCCGCCCAGACATCGTATTTTTATGTGCTCACACATCTCGGAGAAATGTATGGGACATAGAGGGGCATTTAAAAGCGAACCGAACGCTGGTCCACGGCCAGTTCCGCTTATACAACGGACGAGAAAATTTCTCCAGGTGCAAGGTAAGATAAATTCAAGGATTCGAAAAAGGGAGAGTGTGGCACATCGGTGTCGCCGACTCCTCTCCCGGTGACAAAATCTTCTTTTTCGCGATGTGTTCGAACGAGGCATCATAAAGTGTGTTTTATTTGTCCGACATCTAAAATAATCGCTTATTTGTTGGTATAAATAATCAATAAAATTTAATAGTATAAAAATTTTAGGATGGGTGTTATAGAACGAGTTATTGCATCAAATTTCGTTATTATACCTCAGTTATAGAAAATTTTCTACGTTATTATTTTTTAAATCCCGGTATTGTTTAAAAAAATGGTTTTATACATTCTTTTTCTAAAGTTTATCTGTGATATATATTTATATATATACATATATATATTTTTTAATATAATTTTTATCAAGTGTGTAATATAAAAAAAAACGTAATATCTGTGCGATTTATATTTCAATTATATTTCAGTTTAAAAAAAATGCAAAATAAAATGCAAAATATTTAAATTAAAACATACATGTATAGATTCTTGTAATAATTACGTTTCGGATCGGTTTATATCGTGCGCGTCGCGATAATTACTCCGAGTGCCTCGGCAAATTTATTTGTCCGACATCTAAAATAATCGCTTATTTGTTGGTATAAATAATCAATAAAATTTAATAGTATAAAAATTTTAGGATGGGTGTTATAGAACGAGTTATTGCATCAAATTTCGTTATTATACCTCAGTTATAGAAAATTTTCTACGTTATTATTTTTTAAATCCCGGTATTGTTTAAAAAAATGGTTTTATACATTCTTTTTCTAAAGTTTATCTGTGATATATATTTATATATATACATATATATATTTTTTAATATAATTTTTATCAAGTGTGTAATATAAAAAAAAACGTAATATCTGTGCGATTTATATTTCAATTATATTTCAGTTTAAAAAAAATGCAAAATAAAATGCAAAATATTTAAATTAAAACATACATGTATAGATTCTTGTAATAATTACGTTTCGGATCGGTTTATATCGTGCGCGTCGCGATAATTACTCCGAGTGCCTCGGCAAATTCCAAAGTAGACATGACCAAGACGGGGAATTCGAAAGCGACCACGAAGAATTATTTTGTGTACGCCGCAATGAAATGCTGTTAAATGTACATCGATTACGCAAACAGTTATGGTATAATGCGAGTGACGGCGCATTTACGCGAGTAACGCGCCGGTTCTTCCGTATGCAACTTTCTCTCATGAGAGTATCACGAGTGTTTCACTTTCTTCCCAAGACTCGTTTGATGTTTGTCATATACACATTTATTATTGAATGTGTGTGTGTATGTGAACATCCAGCCACAAATACCGATTACATGAACTTAATATTTAAGCGAACTGAAAGAAATTGGACAGAAACATATATTCTCTTTCTATGGAATTCATATTTTTTACAAATTCGAAGTCTTACTATATTATCGGATAGATTTTTTATATAGTTTCATCTATATTTTCCTAATACACCTTTGAATATTTTTTTTGTTAATATGTTGTAGATTAAATTTATAGAATGCTTGCCACGGCAATGTTATTGCTAGTACTGATACTGCTGTTGCTATACCTAGGCTGCCACAAACCAAAAGGATACCCACCAGGTAAACGATTAATTTCTTTTTTAAGCTGTTTTTTTTCTTAAATTATGACTAACATCCTTCATTATTACCAGGTCCAAGATGGTGGCCTATTTTAGGCTGTGCGCTGGAAGTGGCGCGTATCCGTCAGGAGACCGGATATCTCTTCAAAACCTGCTCAACGCTCTGCAAGAAGTATGGCCCAGTAGTCGGTCTAAAGATCGGTAAAGACCGCATCGTCGTTTTGAACGACCTAGAAAGCATGCGAGCAATGCTGACTAATGAAGACTGCGATGGCAGACCAATCGGACCCATTTACGAGGCCAGAACTTGGGGCGCTAGACGTGGTAATTATCTGAAAAAAAAAAGAAAATAAGATGAAATTTTTGAATGTCAAAAAACAATTAAATAATAATGTTTCAGGTCTCATCGTCGTGGATGAGCGGTTGTGGGTGGAACAACGACGATTCGTTTTGCGACACCTGCGAGAGTTTGGCTTCGGTCGTACCAGCATGGCCATGATTATCGAAGACGAGGCACTGAAGCTAGTGGAACACTTCAAAAAACTGCTTCGAGACGGCTATAATTATGATATCATTGATATCCGAAAATCGACGATGAATAATAATAATACCGGACAGATATATAAGTTGCAGAAAGACTCCAAGAACAATCTAAATAAGTCGAAGCTGTGCGACAAGTTCAATATAATCGATAATAAGATCTCCAATCATAAGCCTTGGACAGTAGCAGATTTATACATGAAGGCTGAAGATTATGCGGAAGTCAGAAGAGTCTCCCAATCAACGGGAATGATCATAACTATGCACGACGTCTTCGGTGTGACCGTATTGAACACCCTTTGGAGAATGATGGCTGGTAGAAGGTTCGTATCAATCATTCGAATTGTTCCCGTTCTTTCATGAGTTTGTAGCCTGAAAAAAGCAAATTTAAAAAATGGATTAATTCTTGAAATCAATGATTTTCGATTTTCGCAGATACGATACTGGCGATAAAGAGCTTACGTACCTACAGCGAATTCTCACGAAACTCTTGAAAGAAATCGACATGATCGGCGCGCCTTTCAGCCATTTCCCGCCGTTACGCTTCATCGCACCGGAAATGTCCGGCTACAAATCGTTTCTACAAACGCATCAAGAATTGTGGGCATTTCTGAAAGTAAGCAAACATTGTATTATCGTGTATCAGTTTATCATTAGATCGTTTTACGAACAAGTGCCTCAATTCTTGAGATTATTTGTTGAAGATTAATAATCCTCTTTCACAGGAGGAATTATACAATCATAAAAATACATTCATATCAAGCGCACCGCGAGATTTGATGGACGTCTATCTAACTGTGCTGAATTCGAAAGATTGCAGCGACACGTTCTCAGGTATTCAGAAGCGTACAGTTAGTAAGAAATAACATTATTATTACCGTAAAAATGGTTTTATATAATAAGAGAAAGTAAATTTTTCAGAATCACAGTTGTTGGCGATCTGTGTCGATCTCTTCATGGCCGGCTCCGAAACAACTTCAAAAGCGCTTGGTTTTGGATTCTTGTACTTGATACTGTTCCCGCAGGTTCAAAGGAAGGCACATGAAGAAATAGATAGAGTTCTTGGTCGCGACAGATCTCCCACATTGGCCGACAGACCGAGGTAAACGGGATCGATCACTTTCACATGCGGACTTTGAATGCGCGAAAATATTAATTTTACGCACAAATACAAATTCTTTCATACATATAAAATATCGATCCTTGTTTTTCAGAATGCCATACATCCAAGCTATCGTCCTGGAATCTTTAAGAATGTTCATGGGTCGTACTTTGAATGTTCCACATAGAGCATTGAAAGACACTTTTATTGTGGGCCATAAAATACCAAAAGTAATCATAAAATATTAAATCATTAGATGAAAAATTTAACACATTTTACGGGTTGATAAAAGTGAAAATAAACCGTTATTATCTCTTCTTAGGACACAATGCTCATTGTGAATTTTAATAGAGTACTCATGGATGAGTCTTGGAACGACCCGGAAGATTTCCGGCCGGAGAGATTCCTTGATAGTAGTGGCAATGTCGTTACGCCAGAAAAATATTTTCCTTTTAGCATCGGTATATCTTTCTTCTTTGTATTATTATACAACATTTATACAACATTATGGTATAATCAAACATGTAAAACAATTTTTTTGCATTTTATAGGCAGACATCGTTGCATGGGGGAGATATTAGCTAGAAGCAACATCTTCGTAATAACGGCCACTCTGCTGCAGGCGTTCAACTTCTCCGTGATTCCCGGTGAGCCGCGACCTTCCACGCAAGATTTTGTAGACGGTGTCACGGCCGGTCCCAAACCATACAGAGCATTAGTTTCCCTGAGAACGTAACTGAGGCAGCATTTGTAACTTTTTGGGACAGTATGTATTTATTCTCGTCCAACCCAGCTTCAATCCTATTCTAATCTTAACAAGCCAATCTTAATGTCAATTGTAATACAAAAACATTTTTTGTCACAAAAATATATTTTTATTATTATCATGTATAGGAATATACATGTATGTATATATGTATACACATGTATATATATACATATATGTGTATATACATACACACATATATGTATATAAAGAAAGATACGCGAAATAAATAATTGTACATATATTAGAAGAATATAGTCTTAATATCACCGTTTGTCAGACATTAACAAACGTTTGAATCGACGTTAATGCGTCGTTTGACAATAATAAATTACAGACTTGTGTACACAGATTGCACATAATCGCGTGGATTATATATAAGTATATCTCGCTTTACAAAGAGTTTGCTTTTTCTTTAAAGATAATTCCCATATATATCTTGTCTTTTATCATATATTCAGCGCTTGCACACTCGTCAATATATTTTGCGCCGCGCATTAGATTCTAAGTATCATCTTTTCAATGTAAACAGTCACATTTATCTAAATGTGATCCCTGAACCTTGTATGCGAAAGATTTCTATACACGAATATCAAGATCAAATCAAAATATGTGAACAATGCAGGTACAGTTTCGATTAAATAAATTATCTAAAAATTAAGATACAATCTTACAGAAAGCTGAAAACACACAGAAAACACTCTTATGCTAAATGATCCGAAAGATTCAACACGTACTATTATATTCACTTATTAAACCGGATGTATGAATATCAAAAGGGAGATTGCTATATATTACCACCTGAATGTTTGCGCTCTTTAGCACACCATATATAAACTTAAAAAAAAGCCATACAAAATACTAGACCAATAGAAAAGTTTGCTTCATTTAATAGTTGAAAATATACTCACACACACATTTCTTGTGTAATGGACGGTATTGAACTAATAACTGCTATACTGCTCCACTCAATATATAATATGCGTGATAGCAAAATAGAAAATATAAAAATAATAAATGTTTATAAAACCAGTCGTTTTCGCTAACCGTGCAGATGGTATCGAAAAAACGCTCGAGATTCTTCATCCCTTAGTCAGCTAGGTTGATCCTCTACTATATGAATCTAATTAAGAAAATTATATATTTTTAGAATAAGAATTAATATATATTATAATCTCAAAAAGTAATATTATCAGGAATTTTTACCTCGGACAGAATGGCCCAGTTTTCGCTCTCGCTGTGTATAGTTAAACGAAACACTGATATTCTACCCAATCTTCGATCCACAGTCCCTTCAGCAACACCAAGTACATCAAATTTACCTAATCCACAATAACATGTTCTTTAACAACTCTTAAAAAAAAAACCCTTTTGTTAAATTACAAAATACAAGCATATAGGATTTCTCTTGCTACCTATAATAACATAGCCATCCTCCGTCACATCATTGCTGTTCCTATCCAACAATGAAGACGTCTCGGATAGTACTTCCACTGTTGTATTATAAAATCTATCAGATGGGTGTTCAGGGTTTCCACTTCTAAATAAGTACCTGTGTACAAGATAACATTATAATCGTGTGATTTTGCATCCGAAATAAAAGAATCTGCTATCTGTCTTATCAACTTACTTTTTTATAAAAATAGGATGTGAAAATTTAAACTTTAGATGATCTCCTGGCTGCGGCAGTAAACCCCAGAAGAACGATTCGCCTTTGTATGCTTTTTGTAATGTGTACTGTTTGTAAGGTTTGATTTGAGTTTCTACAGTCGCCTCAGGATTCTCGTGAGCATAGAACAGCGTTATCTTTCCAAATTGCTTGTCCTAAATAAACGTAAATCGAGACATAATTATAATTTATTCCTTTCTAATTATACTTTCTTTTGATTATCAAAAGTATAACTATTCAATGTTACCTTAAGTTTCTGTACTTTGCCCTTTAAAGAGGAATGCGTTCCTATGTGCTGAAAGAGGGAGGGCTTATAATGCACCCATAATTCTGCTTTAGCCATTTTGCAGTGTTTCTGTTGAAAAAAATCATTTTGAATGATTAAATTACCTTATTAAATGGCACTCGTTTTTATCTATTTGTTTATATATCTATTGTCTATTATTTATACTTACACTATCTTTATCAAGACTGCAGACTTTTGTCGATATCAAGTGATCCAACAACCAATCAACAGGTTTGTCATTGTGGAACATTAAAAAAAATTGGATCAGCCAAGGCAATTCCACACATTTGAACAGTTTCCCTGTATTAATGTAACTTGTAATATCCATTCAACATTTATTACCACTGTAAAATATATGATAATGCCATACCGATAAACCCGAGCTGACAGAAATCGAGAACAAACCAATTCTCCTTTGTGCCAATCTTCTGCAATGCAAAGGTTTTCATAGTAGTTATAAAGTTCTTCTTGGCCAAAATATCGTCTTCCAGTTGCACATAAAACGTGCCTTTAGTCTGAGCATAGGACATGAGGAAGGCAAAGTCTAGGTTCTGTTTGGATCGCCATACGACACGTTGATGATCGTCGCCGAGGGTGTCGCGCAACTTTGACAAATCCGGATAAAAGGACGATGATGGCGATATCACATCAATCACACCAGCTTCGCATTCGTTCGGAAATCTAAAACAAGGATCAAGAAAAAACACTATAAAATGGACTATATGAATTTGAAAGTTGAAGAAATAAGATAAATAAAATGAAAATTGAATCCAATCACACAAACTTACTGGACTTCAATTTGCTTTGCAACATATGTCACATAATCCATGTCTGTCTGCAAAGAAAATGTATAATATATATTGTTTGTTAATTTATTACATCCAATCCCTCAAAATGCGAATGGAATTAATGTATTGTTTCATAATCGATGATTTTACTTACTTCAGCCACTAAAACGATTATCAGCGTATCCGCAGTTTCCGCGGCGTTCATACGATCTAGCAGGTTTTTTAGAGTTGCCATAAGATAGGATTGAACCTCGCGCTTCACCGTTGGTACCCCTAACACCATACTTACGCCTGATCTACCCTTGCTCTGCACAAAGGCTGGACGCAGGCTATTTGGATCGTTGAGAAAATGCGGCAGAAAGTTATAAATTGAAGGCAATTTGATACTGGTAACATTAGAGGTGCCATTATTGATGAGCAGCTGCAAATCTGGCAGAATGTGATTGTTCTCAACAAGTTGTAGCAGTTGATGCGATAATAAATTTATTTCCTCCTGGCTGCCAATGTACTTGGCATGCAAATGCTCCAGCTTGGCTTGCAATTCAGCAATGCTGTTCTGCAATATAGCCTCTTCACGCATGTCTGAAGGCATCAGCAGATTCAGAATCGCGCAAGGTACCAGGACTAATAAGAGTACAATCAGACATCGCTTCCGCACTGAAGTCAAAGCTGTAAAATGCGGCGTCATCTTCCTCTTGTCTGACTCTAAATTCTACATGATTGCATTCATAATTTCAGGAAGTAAGAACAGAAATATCTTCTGGAAGTCACAATCATTTATGGATTGAAAACATCTGCAATGAAAAATGAAGATTGATTACTGATTATTGTTATCTGCACCTAAGTTAAACATGTTACTTGGTATATAGAAATTTATTGTGCAGACAAACAACATATGGTAAAGCTATATAAGATTCTCAACTTGTAGTTATATTTCCTATTCTAATCTTTCAAAACTACTCTCCCATAACAATTTAGGTTTTATTAAAAAACTATAAAGATTGAAAATTAAGTCAGAAAAAAAAATAATTTTTATCAATAATTTGTAATATTTTTTATGTTTAATATTTTGTTCAAATATAGAAAATCTAAACAAAGTTCTATAACAAAGCAATTGATTGTAAACATAAATGCGTTAGTCTAAAAGTAATTTTAACACACAACTGCAGTCTTAGTCTAATTAATTATTAAATAGCTGATAATTACTTCCAAATAGTCAATTAAATAATTAGTTCATTTGTTATGTTGCTATAAATTGCTTGATAAACTTATCAATAATATAAATGTTAGATTTATCAGCACGCATGACATTTTATTTTGCTATCAAAATATACGAAAAAATGGTACTAGAGCCAATCAATTTCGAGGAAGTCGTTTCCAACTTGCCTCTTTAAAAAGGAAAGAACGTCTTAAGAGGATAAAGGGAAACAGAGTCACACAAAATACTAAAAAATTTTTGAAGAGAACTCGTAATTACAGCACGTGACGCGCTGGTTCGGCGTGACCGATGAACGTCTTCCTGATTTAGCCTTCTTCGAGGTCGTAACTGACATACGCGCGTCCGGACGACATTGCCACGTCGTCGCGCTGGAACTTGATATTCTTGACCAAGAGAGTTCCTAGAATATACGTTGCGTGAAATATATAATATATATTTTGATTACATCTGAATGTTTTCCGAATTCAAGGAGAAGAGGCAACAATCGCGCGTTGAGCACCCGTTTCCAACATAACCTGCTTACTCGGATATTGGGTTAATTCTTTCGTATCCACCTATCCACAGTATATATGAATATACTAGATGCTCAAAAGATGTGTAAAATACTGACGGAATAGTAATAATAAAGATACATTTTTCTTTCGAAAGAATGCCAAGACACTTGAGAAAATCAGAAAAATTTTTAAAAATATTTAATCAAAAAATCACAACAGACTAAAGAAGAATAAAGTATTAATTTGAATTTAGTAGATAATATTGACAGATTTTTTAAATACATCTTTAGAAAAACTATATGCATGGATTCTAAAATTATTTTTAATTGATTAATATATAATTATTTATTGGCAGATATATCACATACATAAAACACAATATTTATAAAACCATGAATCATCTTTATCCAAGAGGCAATGTATATTCGAAGGCGCGGCCGATAATTCAATATAAAATTAATGGTCCGACAGCTAATATATATTTATCGTTTCATGTGTCATCAGGAAATGATATATTCTCTGTGGATATTTATATCTCTTTTCGGTAAATGTTTAGAATAACCCGTTCTACTTGGATTTTAATAAAAATATACTTAATCGATCCTTTTTACATAAAAACAAAGATTTGAAAAGTAAAAATCGTCGCTCGACAGTGTAAAAAGTGTTATTTACCGTTAAAGATGCCGCTTTTGAAGGTTAGGAAATCTGTTATACCGACAAAATTCTGACGATATGAGAATGCGCAGCAATGAAAAAGTACACGAAATTTGAATAAAAATTCATACTCCCACTTTTACTATTTATTGTTTATTAAATCCATGTAAGATAAAATTCGTATCGTCTGATGATTTTAATTTATAACTTTCCACGCATAGCGATGTCCAAATGCAACGAAATTTATAATTATACAATTCTACGTTATTCCTCGATCCGCCTTTATTGGGCGCGCGCGCACGCGCTAATCACATTCGCACATACACAACCACCAACCACCTTCGATCCCACGGACTCAAATGACGGCGAGCTGCGAAGGACAAATGCCTAATGCTAATGTCGGTTATCTTCGGCGTCGTTCGGCCGCACTCGGCTCTCACGGTTGCGCGCGCATGGATAAAGGACTATACACATATTGGGTTGAACGGAAAGTTCGTGCCGTTTTTTCGGTCTTTATCTCTTAGTAAAAAACGGAACGAACTTTCCGTTCAACTCAATAGTTCGTTTCATAGGTTTTCGAATAATCGTCAATAGCCGGAAAAACACTTTTTGGTACATTTGAAATTGGTTATTAACTGGTTTATTTTAAAACTTATAGAGCGAACTACAATCATTTTGATCTCATTTGAAAGATAATTTAATACGGTTGTTTTTTACATTTTTACAAATATCAGGGAAAGTATGCGTCTTTTAACAAAAAGTATCGAAACAAAAGTTGTAGAGAATTAAATTATCTTTCAAATGAGATCAAAGTTAATGTATTGGGTTGAACGGAAAGTTCGTGCCGTTTTTTCGATCTTTATCTCTTAGTAAAAAACGGAACGAACTTTTCGTTCAACCTAATATTATATATAAGGGTGTTCAGAAAAAGTGGTATCAAATTTTAGGAATATATTTATTACTCGTAAAAACAATCCAAAGAATCTTAATAAATAGTATTCTAAAAATCATCTATTTCCGAATTATCGGCCGCGCTTTTGAATATATATTGCCTTGTGGATTATTAGTGCCAGTCTACAATAGGTGATTTAAGCCCTAAGCCTTAAGAAATTGACTAATTATAGTCGAGTATTCTCCTCATACTTGATTGTGATTGGTCAATTTCTTAAGGCTTAGGGCTTAAATCACTTATTGTAGACCGGCACTTATGGTTTCACAAATATTCGTCTGTAAGGAAAAATTTTAAATAGAAAAAATGGACTATATTTTGGCGCGTTTACAAATATTTCCAAGCGCAATCTATCGGAGATTGTCCGCTTCGTGGTCCGCTTTCTCTCAAGCGCATAGTCAGTGATCGAATTAACTGTATGTATGTATGCATCTTGTATATGATTCAGTCAGTCCATTATGACATTTCGAATGACAGATTAGTGAACAATTCGTGACTGGCTTTGTTCCCATCATCCGTAAGGAACTCCTGCGTCACTCGGCGATAACGCAAACACGAACGCGACACTAGATGATTGCGTGCTGATTAGGTCATTTAAAACTGCGTAAGTCGAGAAACGCGATTATATATATCTGATAGCGCCAGCGAGATTCCTCGCTATTTTGATTTAGCTACGCTAAATGGTGAAAATGACACCGCTGGACGAGGGAAGGATCAGACAGGGCTTGTCTAAGGTACATAAACTCACGTACCTAACTTTTAATGTTTAATCATCATCGATAATGATCTTATCATTGTTGTTGCAATGATCTTGTAACGTAAAAAGAGATCTTATTTTTCAGTATCAAAATCCAGACACAACAAAGAAGCATGTAGTGAGCGTCTTAAATCTTTACAAAGGATTGGTTTTTGAGATTGAACCTTTCAGTGAGTAAAATTGTTGGTGCTGATTTGGAATATACATATAATACTTTGTTATATCTCAAAATTTATTGAAATTTGCTGTTCAATTTCAGTCTTCAATGATGGCTCGCGCAAAGAATTGCTCAATTTACAAGGAACTATACCTGTTGTTTACAAAGGTAATATTTTTGCTTCTCATTTTTTTTTGAATCTCTAATGAATGAATTTTACATTTATTAAATATTATTCTTCATCTATTTGTTTATTTCTATATAGGCACTTGTTACAATATTCCGATCTGCATATGGCTGATGGACACACATCCCAACAATGCACCCATGTGCTATGTTAAGCCAACAGCAGATATGCAAATTAAAGTCAGTATGTTTGTAGATCACAATGGTAAAATCTATTTGCCGTATCTTCATGACTGGGTACCTGTGAGTAGACTTATTCTATCAATAACTGAGAATGCATAATCATCTGGTATATATTTATTCTATTCCATTTATTTCACAGCACAACTCAGATTTGCTTGCTCTAATTCAAGTTATGATTGTCACCTTTGGGGAGCAACCTCCGGTTTATGCCAAGTCAAGATCAGAAATGCAACAGAGTTCTACACCATATCCTGTTCAACGTAAGTACGCTTTATTTATGTAATGACAAACTTTTACTTTTTTATTTTAATCTAATATCTCTCTTACTTGTAAATCTTTCCTACAGCATTCATGCCTGTACCTGGTAGTGGAAATGTATCGAATTCCGGTTTTCCGCCGTATCCACCAAGTTCTCAATACTCTGGCGGCAGCAGCAATGTGTATCCACCATATCCACCTGCAGCATCTGGGGGATTCCCATATCCGGGTTCTTATGGTTCTTATGCTGGAACCACTCCCAGCTATCCGACACAAGGCTACAATGGCCCATATCCATCTTATCCACCAGCCACACAGCCGGTATCACAATTATGATCATTTATCTTAATATGGCATTTGTATAATTCATATTAAATATCTGCAATTGTTATTAGGCTCATTAATAGCTAATAATCCATTTGAGATTACATGAGATTAATTAAAGATATAAATAATTTTCGCAAGTCACCGACAATACAATCAGGCTCTGGTAGCTCTGGTACAATTACGGAGGAACACATAAGGGCGTCTCTCCTGTCCGCGGTAGAAGATAAACTCCGACGTCGACTCAAGGAACAATTCTCGCAGCTGCAAGCGGAACTAGAGACACTGCGGCGAACGCAGCAAGAATTGACGAGCGGCTCGTCGCACTTGACAGATTTGTTTGAGAAACTCAGGAGAGAGAAGCAGGAACTCGAGAAAAACGTAAATATCCTACAGGATAAGGAAGCAGAACTGGAGAAAGAGATCGCTAAACTGTCCGATAATCAGTCGATAGACGTTGACGAAGCTGTTACTACCATAGCGCCATTATATAAACAGTAAGTGTATTTGTATACAGTAAATTATAAAATAAATTTATTTAAATTATTTAAATATTTTATTTTATTTAAATACTTGTGATTTGATATGATAGCTGAAAATTCATCAGAGGTTTAGTTGCAAAGGAATAATTAATGAATATGACCAATTGTAATATCACGTTCTCCATTTTCAGGATGCTAAATGCTTTTGCCGAAGAAGCAGCCACAGAGGATGCTATTTACTATCTCGCCGAGGGACTGCGATCCGGCATTATAGATCTGGATGCATTCCTAAAGCAAGTCCGACAACTGTCGCGTAGGCAATTTATGCTAAGGGCGCTGATGCAGAGATGTCGACAGAAAGCTGGTCTGGCTGGTTGAAAAATACTCCTCTTGCACTTTGTTTTAGAGAAA